TGCATAAAGCCTGCTACTCAATGAGAAAAGACGTCCCGTTGCTGGCGACATTTCTGAAGAGGGGACTGACGTCGAAACTCGCAATGCGACGTCCTTCGATCAGACCAGGCTTCGGATTCGGCGTTACAAGAGCAGGAGTTTGTGCTAGATCGAGTTGTCCGCGTTCAGCGTATCATTAGTATCATCTAGGTGCTCCTAGGAGCGAGCAAACAGAACAGCGAAAAAAAAGAACAGATTTATCATGGAAAATCTACAGTACAAAGAAACAGGGGGGTTATGGAAGACGTATAGAGACTGTACATCTCGTGTCGTTCGATGAATTAAAGACCAGACAGAAGACAACATCGGTGGCGGGGAGGACTCGTGTCGCCGCGTCGAGATCTGTGGGATCAACATGGTGTGTGCGAGGCCTGTTCCGGTCGATGAGGCGTCCGTCCGGATAATGTACGTAAATAGTTGCCAAACGCCTATAGCGCCGTAGATTACCTTGGGTATCGTGCGAGGGTTGAGACTTTCATGCCGCCCTAATCTGTTCGCATGGTGAGTAGACCCTGCCGAAGCATTCGTACTCGCCTACCCATAATGACGCCTTACGCCACACGCTTCTGACACTTGGGATTCCCGCTGGCCCGTTAAGCTGCAATCATCGTTCCGTTCAGCTGCGCCTGGATCGTTTTCCACATAGCTTGTGCCCATTCATCATTCCATGTTTGGGCGTCATCGATGTCCTTGTCAAGAAGTGTCCTGGTTTGATTCCGGCTGGAGAGGAAGTAAGTTCAGTCCGAAAAGGTTCATGAGTCCAAAAGAGCTCATGAGGACAAAAACTTCATCCCTGCAGCGTACGCACGAAAAAGTATGTAGCACCCACTTCAAATCCAGTATAACGCGACTCACTTGAGCTTTCTCATGTGGTCTCGCTGCTTTGTGTACGTCTCGTAGTTACCGCCAAAGACACATTCGAGGATACTGGGTCCAATGTTTTGTCCTGAGCGAGCGGCCTGCATGCGGTCTTGAAGGGTGCGGTACGCCTCTCTGAAGCAATCAAATGCAAGCTGGACCTTGTGTGATCCACCAGAGATGTTGTTCTCGGGACGGTTAGGGTCCTGGATGGAAAGACCGTCATACCTCTCTGGACGACCATCAATGCCGTAGTTAGTCTGCGATTGTCAGCCGTGCGAACCTATATCAACCAAGTTTGATATCGACATGTGAATGCTTACCTTTTCAATTATCGCTGGTGGGTGCATCTGGATGCGTTTCCGGGACAGATCGAAATCGCCGTAGTACTTCAGAAATCCTAGAAAGCATTCTCCGAGGTTGTCCGGTTTGGGGGAATGCTGAATATAGCTGACGATCATGCAGATGATACTGTACCCTCCGATCCCTCCAGTGTGGACTTCGTTCAGTCCATGCATAACAAGGAACTGCTTCATGAGTGCTACCATATATATCATGTCAGGGTACTGTTGCTTCCACTGTGCAAATGTGGCTTGCGCTTGCACTCCGCTCAAATTTTCGAAAGAGATGTCAACTTGAAGCCCCGTGAGAGCGTCTTCGAACTTGATGATGGGGACGCGCGCAGGGATGACCTGGGCGTGACCGTTGGCTGCCAATTTCGTGTCTTTGAGCCTCCTAGCTGCCTTGTAGAGCAGGCTCTTGTTGGCGTTCCTCGCGGACATGTCCACAACAGCTTCTCCACCGTTGTAGTGTCTATCGGAGACATATACCAAATCCATATCAGCCGTGGGCAAGTAGAGACCTGCAGGGAAAGAGCCAAAGCACAGGATACGTCCGTTCTCCTGAGGAAACCTGCGTTGGCCCATGGCGCTGTTGACACGATTGACCAGCCTATTACGCTGTTCGTGCTCGAAGGGCTTGGGTGCGACGAAGTCGTAGAAGTCGAGGATCTCGTTGTGAAGCCTAGCATTGCATTAGTACAAAAATCGCATTACGAAGCCTAGAGGTTCTCGTGCAAGGTTCCAGGATATACTGGCATCGCAAACCTCTACGAGAAATCTAGCCGCAGGTATACAAAGAACTTACCACTTCTCAGGTTCGCTAGCAAGATGTGCGTAAGGGTCGGGTGAGGGGAGCCATGGCGTTGGATTGATGTTGGGGACGGGCAACCATTCTTGAACTACACCGCTCAAGCTGGCCTTACGCTTGTTGTTAGCCCTCGCAGGACGAGGTGCTCGATGTTCGGCTAGAGCAGCTTGTTGCCTATCAACAATGCTGTCAATGTGTGCAATTTCGCTCAAGGAGCCTTGAACGGTGTTGGGGCCATCGTCGTCGTCGTCACCAAACGAGATGAAGTCGTCGTTGGCAGCAACAGAGTTGTGTCCGGCTGTCTTCTCTGCCTCTTGGTTCTTCGCTTTCCGAATCAACTTGACAAAGTCGGTTCTTTTGCCTGTGGTCTCATCGGGAGGCGGCAAGGCAGTGTACGGGTCCGGGTTAGACCACTTAGGAACAGAGTCGCCATCAGCACGCTTGGCTTGCGTCCGGGCTGCCTTGGGCTCCCGCGTGTCGCCTTCGCGATCTTCATCGGCGGAGTCGGCGCTCTCTACTTGCATATCTGCTTCTTCGTCATCGGACAGGTCGTCCGGGTTGTGGAACCGGTTGGGGCCGTCTGCGACACCCAGTGCACGCTCAGGACTACCCTCGTCTTGGTGCTTAAGAAGAGCGCGCTCATGAGGGGCAGCCTTCTTGAAACCGCCCCGACGGTAACCATTCGCGTTGTTCCTACCGTCTGCACGAGAAGAGCCTCGCGAGGCCCCACCACGGCCGCGCCTTCTTGATGATGCAGAACCGGCAGGGCCACGCGGCACGTTGGAGTCTCCAGCAGGCGGAAAGCGGGGAGCAGGATGGCTAGACTCGAAAGTGAATTGAGACTGGTTGCTGTTGCGCGCGCCGCCTGGTCGATAGCTGTCGCGATCATTACCAGTAAACGTCATGCGGTCTACGAGTGGTGGCGGGCGCCGCGCTGGGCGATACGAGTCTCCCATGTTGAGTCGCGTTTGCAGTAAGGTGGGGTGTCGCGCGCAATTGATTACTTCGTTTGTTGTGGGCGGATGTTCGATAGCGGTGTGTTGCGGATGGACAAAGGTCTTTGGGCGCGAAAGATTTGTCGAGACAGAATGCGAGTAAGCCAAGACTCTAGCGCGGCCCCGTGGTTTTGTGGGGTGAGCGCGACCCAACCCCCGTGTTCACTCCAACTTGCCTTCAACTGGTCGGTGCGTGAAGTGAGTTGAACAAAGTTTCCAGTAATGTTTCTGGTGCACAAACGCCTTTCACTTCTCCACTGCTACATGGAATATACACAAAGTCCCTTAACTAACTAGCCTGAAGTCTGTGAAACCATAAGACTGCATTTGAGCCGCAAACGAATCCCATGCCTTGAGCATGCAATTGACGTATCATACACTCAAACACTCATACAGGCTCTGATGTCCGATAGGTTTCTGCTAAAACAAAAAAAAAGGCTAGTCGTTGCGGAATGGAAATGGGTTTCAATTGTACTCGGTGGTAATCTTCTATTGATCGCTACGACGTAGCTGCGTTGATAGTACAGTATAGGAACACTGGGGAAGAAATAGAATACACAAGAGAGTGGAGAGACCGAAGCATACTCATGCTAATCTGACCACACTCTCAACCTCGAAGCGCCATCGCTTACTGTATCCATAGAACATGCAAAGCTCAAACGCTATGCCCAACGCCCCAAATGCAACATATTATTCCTTCGTCACTCCATGTAGTTCGTCAAGGTAGTCCGACCAGTAGATTCCGTCCTCGATATGGGCTGGTCGAGAAGAACTGCGGCCAAGTCTCAAGTAAGCTCACTCCTCTTTTGTGAACTTTGGCTTGAACCCTTCTCTTAATTCCTTTTCCCGCTCCGCCACCCGTTGATGTCCTTGCACCTCCCTCTCAATCCTCTCTCGTGCCCTCAATATCTTGCTCTGCAGATAGAAACTTCCGCCCTTCTTCGGATCGTTCAGATCAAATAGCCTCTTGAATCGCTCTGTGACAGCCTCTATTTCGATGTTACCCATCTTTCCGGGACCCACGTTGAGGATTTGGCAGGCTTCGTCCATGGTGATATTGGAGGACGAGAAGGCGCCACCGCTGCCTCCACCATTTTGACTGGCGGCTGCGTATTTCTGTGAAGCGGCGGCCTGACGGTACGACTCGGAGACGGCACGGCCTATTATTCGAGCGCCGGAGAAGACGACTTGTGTTATTATACGGTGGGCCTATGGGTGTTAGTCGAGGATGGTGTGACAAGGGCCAGGAACATACCATTGTAAGAAGAGAAGAGTTGAGGAGCAAGTACACGATCTCCGGTTGCAACAGAAAGTTATGTGGGAGTCACTCCTGCCTGTCTTGGGTGGGTGGGCGTTGTTGTCGATGAGGGCATCCCCAAAAATTCTGGGTCGCCTTCCGCGCTTTCGGCCTTCCTCCGCAGCCTGCACGTGATCATCACGCCGGTAACCTCGACCAATCACGTCACGATCGCAAACCGCGATCTCCGCAACCATCTTTGTGCACTTGACAGTGGCTGTGGCCATGCAATACGATTAAAACATAGGAGTAAGAGTGATGCATCCCTTGCACGCGCTTTCCAGTCGTGTTCTTCTGGAGATTGTCGCCGGATGGGCTACCATGAGGCTTCCGCAAGTCGCCCTCGGACTAAGACATTCACATGCTCAAAGATCCCCGCATCATTTCCGGCGGCAGCATCATGTGCGACCTTGCATGACACTTCTTGACTTCTCTCGGGCTCTAGGTTTGCATTGTTAATAGCCACCCTTCCTATATAATCACCGAGCGTGGCTTGACAAGAGCACAGCACTCAGCCTCATCTGCGCAGCCAGGCGATGACGCACATCTCCATGCATGGCAGCACTAGGTTGGTAACTTCCAAGCTCACAACAACATTCATGTAAATCGGGTCGCGCCAACAACATGCTTATATCCACCTAGATACACCCTGGATAGTGCACATGTCCACCCCTTCCAAGTCCAACAACGATGCGTCGTCCCCGCAGCCGACCGGTGATCCAACGCCCACCTATGCGTCTTTCTCGCCCGCCAACCTAGGCCAGACGACACCACAAACAAAACTGCGATCGGCCATACTTGTACACCAGAAATCCCCGCTACTCGCTGCCACTCCACCGCAGATTACTCGCGTGCTCGCATATTCGCACCCCTTCATACTACCTCTGAACAAGTTTGCTGGGCTGGTAACATGGACAACCGGAGATTCATGGGAGAGCTTTCTCCTAGTCGCAAGCTTTTGGGCGGTCGTCATGTACGGTGATGCCGTGACGAGATATGCAGGGCCTATCATAGTAGTATCTGGCCTGATACTGGGCATGTACACCCGAAGATACTCCCCACTGTCATCGACGGGGTGGACAGGGGAGAAGGGACAGAAGGCGCACAAGCGGGTCGAGTCAGACACCAACATCAAGCACCACAAGAGCCTGGAAGAGATTGTGGATAGTCTAAAGCTCTTCACTTCACGCTGCAACATCCTACTGGATCCCTTTTTGCGCCTTACAGACTTCCTCTCTACACAGAGGACTGCGACCTCGGCTACTACACGGCCAGCACTCACCGTACTATTCATTCGAATTCTTTTCGTATTGCCGCTGTGGATAGCACTCACTTTACCGCCATTCTATATCCTGACTACGAAGCGAGTCGTACTGGCGGTAGGCACAGTAATACTAAGTTGGCATTCACGACCTGCTCGTGTAACCCGCACCCTACTGTGGAGATCGAGGACAGTACGACGTACCTGCGCCTTCATCACTGGGTTGGACTTTGGCGAGATTGTATCGGTAGACAGGAAGGGTGCGCCTCCTCTGCCACCTCGAAAGAAGAGCACGCAGGAGGTCGCGGCTTCACTGGCGGCTAAGCGTCGGCCCGAGTCTACAGGGGTACGCTTCACGTTTTCCATCTATGAGAACCAGCGAAGGTGGCTAGGCATTGGATGGACATCCTCTATGCTTGCTTACGAGCGAGCGTCCTGGACGGATGAGCACTTGAACCCTGTTCCACCAAAAGACCAGTTCGAATTGCCTGAAGTTGAAGGGGGTCAGTCAAGATGGCGGTGGGTGCAAGGCAGTGAGTGGAAGGTCGAAGGTGGAGAGAAAGATAGTAAGACTGAGAAAGGGGCCTCCAAGGAGGAGTCGGCGTGGATATATTACGACAACAAGGTGCGTTTAGGAACCCCCTCTAATATTATATTGATGCTAACTCAAATAGTGGAGAGACGGACGAAGAGGCCAAGATGGCTGGGGACGTTACACGCGGCGCCGGAAATGGTATCGCGATGCTGAGCTCGTGGAATCCACCTCATCCACGGATACCACTCCCATGCCCACTCCTAAACCCGGGCCAATCGACACTTCCGGAGACCTTGACCCTAACCATCTCACAAAGCTTTCCTCCAGTCTCAGTGTAGCATCTAGCACCGATCCTACGCTAGTAGAAGGTGACGGAGGCGAGTATGCCGCGTCGATAGCGTCTGATACAGATGCAGCGAGCACGAAGAGCAAAAGGAGCTGGTTCAAAAAGAGGCGAAGCAAGAGCACAAGCGGTAGTGTCAGCGGTGTTACAGTCGTCAGCGACACGGGTACAACCGGTACACGTAGAAGTGATGAGGATGATGTGCAAAGTCCTCTTGACCGCATGGCCAGGGATGAGGAGTGGAGACTTGGGGATGACATTCGTCAACATCTTGATATTTGAAGTAGCTGAGCGTTTGGAGCACCATTGCCATTATACATGTATTATTTGACCCCCTGCCTGATACGGTCGCGCCCTGTCTCTCTTTGGTGAGCTTTCGCATACTGATTCAAACGATCTTTGAAATGATTGAAATAATCATCTGGAAGATTCGAGTGATCGTCTTGGGTCAACGGATTGCTATAGTATCAGTGTCTTCTCTGTTGCCTCTCTGTGAACATCTGTGCTACAACAATATCAATGCCTTTAGTTTGGTGATTCTGCCAATATATCAAGCAGATTCATGCAAAGTTCCACAACAAAGTACAAAGACCAAGTTTTCAAGTGAATGTCCATTGATTCATAGTCATATCTCATCTGATACTTCCAGCAGTCGTAACCCTAAGATTGGCAGTTCACCCCAGCTTCCAGCAATGCTATTGTTCCATGTCCAAATCGCTCAATGGATGTGTTGTTGTTGAAAGAGATTCGAGGTTCAGGGTAGTTTGACGCTTAGTGCTGTTCCCCAATCGTTAGTGCCAATTTAAAGCAGACAGATAGAGGCACTGCATCAGTGCATCGTAGGATGTACTTACGGAGCAAGATCCGCATCCACAGCTGGAGCAGTCACCAGCGCAGTTGCAGGTAGAGCAGTTGCTGTTCAGCTGTTAGCCTGTGCCCCTTCCATCTTCCAAGTAAAGTGTCCATCACGGTGCTGGCGCTAGCCCTGAAGCAGCAACACGCCAGCGTGTGTCAGCCACCAAAGATTGGTTGCAAGACGTACCAGGGAGACATCTTTATGATGGTGATTGGTTGGTTGGTTGGGTGGTGTTGTTTGGTTGGTTGGATTGTGAAAGTGTTGGAGCGTGATGAGCCATCAAGGTGCTGAGGGCAAGACACTTATATAGACCGGCTGGTCGCCGGCTCGCGACTCCCAACAGAATACCTACCCACGCTGCAGTGGAGACTCAGCTCTCTCTTGGAATGGTGGTCATGCGCGACCTTGGCCATGGTGGTGGGGTCCGATGGAGAGTGACATATCGACTTGCTACCTGCCTCCTGGCCCCCCTCCCAGACCGCCTATCGAAACTCCGCATTTAAGCGTGCACTACGCTCTTCGTCGACCATACACAACAGAGAGGACAGAGGGGAGGAACACTTGGCTGGTGGAGGTTCACCGGCGAATGGTTGGATGGCTCACCCCACTGGGTGTGGTAGATGTTGAGAGTTACCGCTTTAGGCGGCCTCTCGCACAATTCCCGCACATACCTGTATACTTGATCGGGCCGGTTAACGGGACGCTCTCATATGGGATCAGGCTGATACGAGCATCTCTCGATGGTATTGGGCGTGGCACTATCTGCCGCTGCAGCCGCATCACCATACTGGGCTTCACTGCACCTTTGCTTCACTCCAAGTTGCTACCTGACCACTAGTATAGAGGGAAGCCTCGGAGTTCTCTCCCTTACCATGTTCTAGCGTATGGGTTGACGTCCTGCACATGTAAGACATATTGCAGATCGCTCACAGGACCCGTTGGCCTGGAGCCTTGTAGAAAACGGCACGGGCACGGCACCGTCAACGTGGGATAAGCTTAGTGACCCCTAACGGAGTGCTTACGTCTCAACTGTCTACTGGCTGCGTGGTAATCGGGTGGTGACACTGCATGTGTATTCCCCGCTCTTGGGCAGTGTCTAACTGTGGAACTGCCAGTTTGCAGTACAACTCTACACGAACCTATGTTACAGTGCACATGACTCAAATCTTGAACCCAGAACCAGTTTTTCTCACGGTAGAATCTTCGGCGCCTTCTAAGGCATGTGAATGTAGTTGATATGACGTACCGGCTATGGATCTAGATCTTACACTAAGTAGAAGCGCGTGATCTTGATGATGATGCATAGCGCTCAAAGTAGTATGGCTGAGAAGCCAATCGCAACGGTCCGTCAGCGGAGCTATGATGCAGCTAGTGGGCAACACGTGGGGAGAAGCCTCATAGTTCTCGTGGGGACTTACCTAGGTAACCCTAGAAAACGACATGGGGCACAGTACATCATGAGATGTATCATCTACATGAATGAAACAGCTTCTAAGCGAACCAATACTCCCAGCAAGGAATCTAGCCTATATAACTTTGACGTATGAGCGGATGGCGGTTGCCGCGGTACCTAGGTACTTGGCAAGATGTACCTATCTTATCCCCACACTTAAGCACACTGATACACTAGTACTCCACAGAAGGCAACCACCATGTCCCAACAGTTCCAGCAAAGCGGTATCATATCGATACAAGAATGGTAATCACGGTACCTCTAGAACCTGAAGCGGCAAGAATCTTCCAGCAGCGCTTTTAAGCCGGAGAAGGCTCCAAGGCTCCAAATCCACTGCTGTCACCAAGCTGGAGTGATAGGCTACAACGATTTGAAGATCTCCCCAGAGGTACACCGGTCGCCTCACCTTCATGATTCGGAATGCAACATTCCTTAGACACCGTAAAAGGAAGGTGATATCTATGTTGAAAGTGAGACATAAGAAATTGGCGGTATGGCTGGAGTGGATCAGTCATGTGTTACTTGTTGCCTCAATTGCCTCTACTTCGATCTCTCATCGAGCCAGGATGATGCTCGAGTGAATGAAATGATGCTTTGTGAGAACATCGAGTAAAACTGATGATAGTCATTCAAAGACCGTCCTCATAGGTAGCAGTCGCCTCACTCATAAGTGTTCGAGACTTTGACGGAGGCTTGCTGTTTCATTATACAAGAGGATATAAATGTACAAGTATAAGGACTGAATACATAGACTCAGCTGACTCATTCATCCCTTTCGCAGCACATTGATCTATTCGACTATCAGACGACAGGACCACTATCTCCATCTCTCCATATCTCCCGAACGTGTGAAGCTGCGTCGGAAACTTCCCTCTCAGCAGTAAGTGGATCTTTCTCATCGGCAAGAGAAGCCACATACGCTATCCGACTCATTTCGCACAGGGCAGCAGCAGGATCGAGACGTCGTAGTCCTAGCGCTCTGAGGAACTTGTCCATAAGCTTTTCAGCTTGTTCCTTTTACGTATCTGACTTAGCACCACTGCCCCACGCGTTCACTTCGGGCCCGGTACGGTTTTGCGGAGTACGTGTGATATTCTCTAACGTTTTGGCAGTATTGAGGACGAGCTGATCGTCTCCATACTGACCAATTACTTGCAATCCTATGGTGTTGAAGAAGGGCTCGGTGGCTTTCGAATTCCCCAATTTTTCCTCGTTGTAGGGTGCGGCTGTTGGAAGAGTGATTGCTGGTAGTCCGGCAAGACTAGCTGGCACGGTGAAGACATCATTCATGTAGGAGTACACCGGGTCCTTGGTCTCAACTTCAGCCAATGAGGGCGCCGTTGATGGTGCCGTGGGGCATATGATCACGTCTACGCCCTCTGTCTTTGCCAAGGGCTCTTCGGAATCGAACAGCGGGTTTGGCGACGCAAAGACCCGGTTGAAGTCTTGTTGTACAAGTCTGCGAATCTTTTGTGCTTGTATGAAGTAGTTGTCGATAGCCTGAGCGCTTAGTGAAAAGGCCCCAAGTAGTATACGTCGCTGAACTTCAGGACCGAAACCTTGACCTCGAGTCTTAGCAAAGAGGACACTGTCTGGTGTTCCATCGATGCCTTCTGCTCTACTGCCGAAGCGCACTCCATCATACTTTGCAAGATTGCTAGATGCCTCGGCTGGTGCGAGGACATAGTAAGCTGATAGCGCTTGCTGTGTTGTCGGTAGTCGGACAGGATGCAAAGTATGACCATGATCCCACAAGTGCCTGAGTCGAAGGATCCACGCTCTTCGGACAGCGGGGTGCAATGTGTCAATGTTGTAGTCGAGAGGAATGCCGATCCTCAATGAAGTTGGTTGGTGTCCCTTACGGAACTTTGCGCGGGTTGTATTGGGGACGGAGGTTGGGTCGTGTGCATCGTGGACGTTGAGCTTGTCTGTAACCTGTCAGAAATGACGAGATGCTAGTCTACAACGCCGAAAACTCACCGAAAATGCTCTTTACACTCGCGACGTTCTTGCCGAATATCCCAACAGTGTCCAGGGAGTTGGCATAAGCAATAACGCCCCATCTCGACAGCAGTCCGTAGCTTGGCTTGTACCCAATGACTCCAGTATACGCAGCGGGAAGCCGTACGGAGCCTCCAGTATCGGTACCTAATGCACTGATCGTTTCAGCACATATACTCCAATTCGTCGAGGATAAATGACTTACGCCCAACATTGTGAAGTAGCGACAGCAAGCGCGCTTCCACCTGAGCTTCCTCCCGCACTCGCTTCTTCACTCTCATATCTCTGCATCTTCACTGGGCCGAAATGTGAATGTGTTGAATGCGATCCCATGCCGAACTCGTCCATGTTCGTCTTGCCCACCACCACTGCGCCCTCATCTTGGAGCAGCTTCACCACCGTCGCGTCATATGGGCTGGTAAAGTCCCTAAGAATTCCAGAAGAAGCGGTAGTCTTCAGATGCTTTGTGCAGATGTTGTCTTTTATCGCGATTGGCTTGTCATTGAGGCTGCTAGCGGACTGCTCGTCAAGGACATTCGATTCGGTGGCATCGCTGCGCGTGAGAAAGGACGGATCGACGAGTGAATTGAACGCATTGAGATGCTTATATTTCGATTGATTCAGTAAGTACGTCTTCGCATGCTTAGAGAGGGACATGGAGGGTGGCACACATCGCCGGCGCGTTATCGCGAGTGGGATGTCGGAAGTTGACGAGCGGGACAAAAAGTAGTCGCGACGTCATGTGATGTCTTGGGTGGGTGTGGACTGACTCGAGTACGCTCAACGTGCCCTCCACCGAACAGCAAACACCTTTAAAGTGCTTTCATAGATACGATGCAACTCGAGCCAACGTCTACGACTAGTATGAAGTATATCAAGACGATCACGAAGGACCGTCGACTGAATGCTTGACCAGCTTCGAGAACATCCCAAGTGGGGGTTATCATTTCCCGCTGCGACTATTGTGACGAAGCCTGGAACCCCTCTATCGATGAATGAGCGGAACATGTCAAATGCGAGCTCTATCTTCGGGACGCAGGTCATGCCATACGCTTGCTTGCATCTACGATCAAGAAAGATCCTATTGTTCTTAACGGTGCGACTGTACAACATGTTTAGATGCTACCGACCCAATGGACGGAATCTCAGGAGGCACTAGAACAACGACACGTCGCGTTACAGAATGGCCTACAAGGTATTCTTAGGCATTGTTACTGTATGTACATATATGTATAGGCAATTAATAGGTGTCTAATATATGAGAGTTTGACGGGAAAAGAACATTTCCAATTGTTTTAGGGAAATCGCAGTTCGGCACCAGGGCAGGCCGCATACGTCAGCGTTGTTAGGAAAGCATTGGAAGAGCAAGCTCTTCAAGGAACGAATAAGAGAGGAGAGAAGGATGATCTACAAAGTAAAGACGAGGACGAAAAGCCTGTGGTAATCAAGACGCACATGCCATTGGTCCTACCATTTGCGTATGGCATGTCAGGCAAACAAAATAGGCAGTATGTGAAAAGCTTCGTTCTAAGAAGTATCTGCCGGTGAGATTTCGGTCTGGGAAGTTTTGTCCTGAACGGTTTCGGCCTCGGAAGCTTCTGCTTGAGCAGTTTCTGCTTGCGAGTTCTCGGCCTGAGACATTTCTTCGGGTGGTACGGAGTGATTTGAGGTCGCATTGCTGCCTCGGCGTGTTGAAGGATGCGGTGGAGCATTCACCAGGTCTTCCTTCGCTTCAGTGAGAATAAACTCGTCCTCGGTCGATTCGATGGTGAAGCCCATGCCTTCCAGTGTCATTGTCCATGATTCGCCCTTCTTTGCGATAGGCGAGTCTGGAGGAAGCAAAGTATTGAACAAGTCCTCAAATTCGCATTTGTTGCGACTAAATTCAGTAACGCGTGGCTCCTCATCTAATGGTAGGTCCTTGAGCTTCACAAGCTCCCACTGAGGCCTGTTCGGTGTGTAGTGCCACTTTGGTTTATTTTCTGAAGACGGACAGATTGAAACAAAATAACCTGGATGTTTTCTAGGCCGGTCCGCCATCTTGTCGGTTCGAAACTCAGTTTTGATTCGATGGCTTGAGTTAAGCCTCAGAATCCATTTGTAATGTGGTTTCTTCAAGTTAACACCGACCCAGGATATCCGTGATGGGTTGGCGTTTCCAGGATGATCGACGATGACTTCCGTGACATTGTATCCTAGGACGTCCGCAGGATTAACCCTGTATGCGTTTTGTAGGTGAACGTGTTGCCGAAGTTCCCTCTCCATGTCTGGCGACGCCATAGGTGTAAGGTTGCTGGTGTTTATCCAATGTTGAGTGACGTGATATAGATCTGGAATCCAGTGTGTAAACTCTGTATCCCTAACTAATACACACAGAATCCTTGGTATGATTACCTGTTGCTCGTATGTCCTTGGGAGGTCTTCCGTAGACTGGAAAGTTGGACAGGCGATGCGACCTGCATTAACAATCATTAGGCAAAGCCGGACCAGCGCTTGTTTGGAGGGTTCTTTCAATTCTTTTTTTCCGTACTTATCCTCTTCATCATCACTCCGCTGGATGTCTTCCATGGCACGATCAAGCCTGTCAACATCGAGAAAGTTTTGACAAAACTTTCTGAGCTTTCCTTTGGATTGCCAGTCGTAACGGCCATGATCAGGATGTAATACATCCATGAAGTCCAACAGTGTTGGCCGATCTTCTTCAGATTGTCCTGGCTCCTGAACAACCTTCTTCATCACGTCTAGGAAGAGTTTCCGAACGTGCAGGCAGTCTGTTACGTTCAAGCAATGGACGACGCGTGAGGCCATGACTCTATCAAGCTGTAGCTGGATGTCTACTGTTGGAGGAAACTTCATCTGGCGAAGCTCTGCGCACGTAGGAATTTTGTGGCTCTGGTCACGACAGCTTTGCCTGAGCATGAACAGTGGTAGATCCCGGGTACATTGATACGCTTCGGAATCCTTTTCCCAGACACTTTCGACGAGTTGCTTCAGATTCCCGGAAGTATGTTGCATATCCGCCTTGAGAAATTCGAAAAGTTTGTCAAGATAACGCCAGGTCACGCGATTCTGCGTTCGAGGGTTCCCTACTTGTTCGTCGTAGTACTCCCCTATCCACTTTCCCACGTCATAGATGTCGACTGCGATTTTATTGCTTCTCTCGAGCTCTTTATTGAGCTCGCGCTGCTTCAGGTTATCAAGCTGCTGAAGTGCGGTTTCTCCGACCATGACAATGCCGTTGAAGCTGTCAAGAATGGCTCTTGTTTCGGGCCCTGGCGCTTCGTGTGGTTTGTAAATAATATCGTGTTCAATATTCGACCAAGCATTCATGACAAGTGTTAAGACCTGGATCTCAACGGTAAAATCATCCCGGTGGAGCTTAACATGAAAATGGTCTCCCCGATATCCAGGGAAGATCTCTTCGGTTGTAGAAATGTTTCTAGTTGTGGAATTTTCGTCGCTTGTGGAGATGGCTTCGGTTGTGGAAATAGCTTCGGGAGCCTCGAACCTCGTCCATTGCGAGATTGCGATCTCCATGTCGAACAGGTCCTTTGGAATATATCGGCTCTTTTTGGTTCTTCTCACGAGCTCGATTTCGGTGTGTTCTACGAGACATTTTTCGACCTTTTCGACATCGCCTGGGAAGTAGAGGAGGATCCGAATGCCACCGATGTCAGGGAGACTTTTGAACATCTCGTCGACATCCGAAAAATCGCCATAATCGTTAAGTCTTACATGTCCTTCACCCCAGTACCTTTCCCAGCTTACTCTAAGATTCTTCATCTGATTTCTGTCATCTTCTCTTTTTATCCTTTCCTTTCTCTTATTCTGGACGGATTTGACAGCCGATTCCATTTCCTTCATTCTAAAATGGGGATGGTGACATCTAACATCCGCTTTCTTGAGTGCTTCGGGTAGTAAGATGTCATTAATCCGACGTGTACTCTTTTCAATCAGTGCGGACCTTTGTTCGTACTCTCTCCGAAACTTCTCGATGAGCTTAGTCTCTTCCACCATGACGTCGGGATAACACCGCTAGCAGTAAGACTAGAGGTCTCTCAATGTAACGCGGCAGCCGAGGCTCTAGTGCAAAGGTTGTCCAACAACAAGAACAAACAAGGATATATCAAATCAAAGTAGAGAATGTGTCGGAAACGCTGTCAGCGATGAAAGTGGAGTTCTGAACTACCAGAATGACATGTTGTGTCACCTCTTATGGTTCGACCACTTTACCCCACTCTATATGAGCTATGCGGCATTTTTGCTTCCAATAGCTAATATATTCAAGGTGGTCTTACTGGGTAGGCAAGCCATGGCGAGGCATGAAGGCAGTTCTTATCTCTCAACAACCTACATTCAACTGCATCCGGTGAGAGTGGCCGAAGAAGACTACCTTGGCAGATTTGTACGCAGATTTAGGCAGCTTATTGCTGGCTATTTCACCAGTGAGCGTACAGTGTTTGATGTAGAAAGGCTGGCCCGGAAACCACCTTATCTGGAAAGGCTATGCTGTGGTTGCACGCGATTGGGATTACTCAGTAAGCATTCGCAGTGAATATAAGAGAGTCTCAGGTATTTTGACCGGTCATGACACTGTCTGCCTGTAGGTGGTCAGCAGGTAAGGCTCCGCGGGTCGCACGCAAGGCTGCAAGATATACAGACCAAATAGGAAGCTCATGATGAATGGCTTGCATACAATTACGCCTCGCGAAGTCCAAGGCATCACATAATGACTGCGACTGGATTACACGGGCGGGTCGTTATATTGGTTTTCTCCTCTCACTTCTTCTCTTCACGGGCCAGAATACAGCCACTTTCCGCCGCCAAGTACTCTAGACTTGAGAACATCGCAATCTGAACTTCTGACCCCTCTTACCGTACACGAAGAGCCCATAGTGGATGTTATCGAATATGACACATTTTTTCCCGAGGGGTGCTACTAGCAGCACTTTCTCGTGCCTCGAGTTTCGCGAAGGTAAGTTTACAAACTCTCATGCGACAAACGTCGAGCAGCTTCTCGGTCGAATCCAAGCGGTTAAATCGGGCTCGGCGGAAGGCGTCTCAGGTCTCTGCATGCTATTCGAAGACATCAGTCCTGAAATGGCCGCTCAAATCGATCACCTGTTCAATATTGGGCTGGAATTCTTCCACAACCACTTGGCGGCAAACAAGTTTCCCCAACTAGGCTCACAACTCAAGAGAAGCACTGTCTCATTGTTATCGTCGCAAAATGACCCTCAAAAGTCTGTTCATTTGTATTACAAGAGAATCCTCCAAGCAGAACAGCACTTGTCGCCAATTCCTTATAACCCCCGCGTAGAAGGAAATGCAGAGAGGTATGCCGGTCAGATGCCACGAATGAAGGAATGCTGTGTTTCAATTGCCGATGCGTGCTTCTCTATAATGAGGAAGGAGATTAGCCCAGAGTTATGGATATGTAAGCCGCACCTTCTCTTCCAAACATGACAGAGCCTATCAATGACGCCTGCTGGAAATAGGCGTGATGCTCGTGGACAAACCATACTCGTCCGTCCGGTCAGCTCACCAGTTTCAACCGCGCTCAGCAACACCGAGCTTTTTAGAAGAGACCATCACAGCCTTGTCTACATCTCCATTGGAGTCCGGCGTCAGTATCTTTGAGCTAGCACGACACCCAATACGAATCATCCTCGCCGAGTGGGCGCTCTACTCGTTGCTGATGGGTCAATACGTCAAGCACTACGAGTTCTCGTTTGAAACTGTAAAAGGTCTGAGCAGTACTGAGATCAGCAGCATCATGCTCGATCTTCACCGTTGGCGGCGGCGAGGCCAACGCAGCGTCGAAAAGCTGATGGCGATGAGATCGTTTGTCGATGAAGATGGCGGGCCGAGCAAGGTCCTATCCAGAGACATCGACTTCATTTCTCAGCAGATCGTTCAATATCGGCAGTCTTTGGAGTCAATGGTTCCGATGCTTATGTCGATGGTCCAGCTTATGGACTCCCGTCGTGGCATGGAAGAGACCGTATACGTCAAACAGCTGACCCACATTGCATTGTTTTTTCTACCGTTGTCCTTCGTGGCGAGTCTCTTCAGCATGAATGAAGGATTCGCGATCAACTCAAGTGGGTTCAAGATATACCTTGCTGCCGCACTTCCGCTACTCGCACTAGTTTTGCTAGCGTCGTATCTTCCGAAGTGGGTCAGTAGTCACTCTATCAGCATGAGAAGCCAAGGCGTAGAAAGTCGTCATTCATAATGACACGAGAGATTGGGACGTCGGGTTTTTGTACTGTTCAGAGCAGTCTTTACCTAGCTCAAACTTAGCATAGTGATGGGTAGAGAAGATGGTAAAACAAATGGTTCTTGTAAATTCTGCTTCCTTTTCTGCATAGCTGGAGGATATTCTTGATGCCGATTCTGAAGGTCATTTCGTTATACATAGGCAACCATGTACCAGCAGTGTCCTGCGGATTAGTAGTTAGGTGTGTATCCACTCGCTAACCCCCGTTGTTGTATGTTTTTGACCATGTTTTTTTTTGTTTATACAGATCGAAATATGTGTTGTTCGTTTGGTGAATCATTAGTCAGATGTCTCTATACAATGCAATGAAGTCTGCTAGAATAGTGATGACAGGTATATGTCTTACAGACGCTATGTTGCATATAACGAACCCAAACGCCTCGCTATGCAAATAATACCCATGCCATGTTCCTATAGAAAAAAAGCCTGGTAAACACCGCTCCAAAAGCTTATTCGTCCATCTGCCACTGGTACTCCAGTTTCTCGATATTTGCTTTGCGATTCCTTGAATCGAACCACTGCTTCTCGAACCCGTTTCCTCGATCGATGCCGTCCCACCGATGTCCCGGACGGATATTGTATCGGTTTGGTTGAAAAGGTCCTTGGTATAGAGGCTTGCCTGTAATACTACGTCCAGCCTTCTTCTTGCGCAAGAAACCTGAAGCAGGATCGTTCCAGTGCCCTCGTTCCTTTAGCTCGTCGTTGAGCTCCGCGTCGTCTGCATACCGCGCAATGGTCATCGTCTTCGCATCCTGTAGCTGTTGTTTCCTGCGCTCGGCCTCTGCATTTTGTACATCTCCGCGCGCTGCCTTTTCCTTCTCACGCTTCTTACGCTCCTCTTCTTCAGCTTTCTTTCGTGCCTCTGCGCGCTTCATTGCAACGTTGATTATACGACCGCTGGCATCTCGGTAAATGGTTTCTTGCGCGGCGCTCCCCATTTCTTTTGTGACCTCCTCGGCCTTGCGCTTCTCCTCTTCTTGTTTCTTCTTTATTGCTGCTGCGACCTCGGCGGCACTTTGGAGTCCTGCCTTTGCACCAGACTCCATCCTCATGACGCCATCTGTGTCTACCATCTCTGGTGCTTCATCTTCGTCTTCGGCAGCTTTTTGGCGGTCAGCAGCTGTCCCTGCTATGATCGCATCGGCGGCGGCTGCATCGGCTGCAAGTTGTTCGGCATGTGAGGGTGCGGCGACACCCACGGCTGTCCACGTCGCGGCACTGGTGCCTTTGGATTTCTTCTTGGACTTTTTGAGTGTGCCTCCACCAACTATAGCATGATTTGTTAGCCTCGAGTTCGTGTAGCGTGCGAAAATCAGAATACCCATACCGATCATCGGCGCATCCTCATCGTCCTCGTCTGCCTTGTCTTTCCAGCCCAGGTTGTCATCGTCGTCAATGATGAGCCCAGCATCCTTGTTCTTTCTCTTGCGCTTTTTCGACTTCTTTTCCGAGTCTGCTGTGAGGTAATTCTTTGCCAAATAGTCGGCGAGTCCAGACATGTTCAGAGTGGGCGTTTCGTGTGAGTGGTGTTGCAAATGTCCAGTCGCGAAGCTCGGTACGGAAAGTTGAGAGCTTGGCGCGCGCCGCCATTCCGCATCACGTGCTCTCGTGTTGTCGCGTGCTGCAGGTGTAGATCCCGCTCGGCTTCGAGCAGTTGATCTCATTCACTTTTACACCTCGAATCATCATGGCGCCAGGAGAGCGCTCAGAAGAAGTTTGGCTATGGTACACGGCAGTATACGAAGCGATTCAAGAGGTGCCTTCTGGCAAGGTCACTAGCTATGGTCATATTGCTAAGCTAGTAGGAAAGCGTGCGTTGTGTTGCCAGATGACGAGGACGACTTGCTGACATGTTTCTTTTGACCGTAGCCGAATGCCCAAGGTAATACACCGAAGAGGACATGACGATGTGGTTGCAACATCACTAACGCATGACGTCAAAGACAAGTCGGAGTGTGTCTCAAGAACCTGCCGTCGCCATCGACCGATAGCAGCAAGAAGAGTCCAACGTTCCATAGCCGCAACGTGCCTTGGCAGCGCGTGATCAACGCCAAAGGTGGCATCAGTCCGAGGTCAGCGCCTCTTGTTACCATAACAAGGCTTTGTTGGCTGTTGTTCGATTGCTGACTGGAACAAAGAGGACCGAGCGCAGCGGCTCAGCAAGCAGATGCTCTGCGCAGGGAGGGAGTGGAGGTCAGACAGGATGCCATGGGGCAGTACACAGTGGATCTTGGGCAGTACGGCTGGTTTCCTGAAGTCCTTCCCAGCGAGGCTGGCTTAGTTGAAAGTAGCGACGAGGAGGACGAGGAAGAGGCCGCGTACCATACCTGAAGCATGCGCCTGAGGATGCACCGGGAAGGGCTGTCTTAGTCAACCATGCCAGTTACGACACGTTAATGTTCCAAGATAGCTGATTGATGGAAGGGCGTTGCAATGCCATGGTATGGTATGGGGTACATATCTTGGCTGGTTCCTAGTAGCCCGTGTAAGATGACTGGGCTAGGCTAGCAAGAAGGGCACAGACACAGCGGCCGAGTCCGAGCCCTTATCAAGGCTGCGTGGTGAAGGGCGTCATCTAATAAGCTGCGATTGTTGGGATGCATGCCGTGACTGTTGCTGTCTGAGGTGTGGAGGGACAATGTGGGGTCGGCGATCGGAAGATGGAGCACCAGCTTGGGGCGCTTGAGAGCTGGGAGCTTCACGCATGTCCTTGCATACCAACCAGGAACACGGCGGCCTCCAACTCGCCCACGTTGGCCACCAAAGGCGCCTGAAACCGCCATGATGGCATCATGGGCAACAGCGTCAAACCGGACGCGCTTCGGGCTAAAGCGGGAAATGGGCCTCGGCGAGTCGGAAGCTAGAAGCTGGGTCATGAGCTCCTACAGCTCCCCTTATCAGGAACCACGACAAAGGCGGGGATGGTGCCTACGCCCTTGACGACATAAGGACGGCGCGAGTAAACAACTGCCTGGCCCGGACACGAGCCGTAATCTACCATAAGTAACTGCATAGCCACTCCCCTCGCCCGATCAGACCTCATCATCCTGAGTCACTTCTTAGAGTCATTCACAAGACAGCTACTAGTCATCCGCCGCGCCTCCCTCTCTCCCGCGCATATTACCTTGCCATACTCATCGTGCCTGTCACTTCTCACTGTTTACTCTCTCCATTACACCTAATCCACCTACTAGCTATTTGCCGCAGCACCGCTCAGCCACCGACACTCTCTCTCCGTTTGCACCATACCAGCTAGCCACGATACATATCATAGCCTCAGTTACCGAACCAAGTCGCAACATCGCCATGTCGACCTCGCAGACCTTCACCGGCGACCTCCGCAGCGACGCCAAGGAGTTCAACCGCGACAAGAACAGCAGGGCGAAGTGGGCGCATGGACAGTCGTTCGGCCCTGGACGGCGAGAGGAAGACGGCAAGCCCCGCCCTGCTAAGCTGTACCCTCACGTCAAGTAAGTCGCCTCTCAGACCGGACCTGGAAGGACCATCAGAGTACTAACGTATGCAGGGCATCGGCTCACGGCCCCATGAAGGCTCGTACCGCTTTCAACAAGGACATGACTTCGGCCAGTGACGAGTCGTCTGCTGACGAGGACGTTGAGCACCCTTCTGCAGCCCCTGCTCCAGATGCCGAGATCGCCTACTCGTTCGATGCCCAGCGGGGTCCTAGCCATGGCAGCCAGATCCTGAACCATGCTCTCGAGAAAGCCGTCGAGCGCTTCGAGACCAAGGAGACGGAGAAACTGGTGAAGAACGAGTACGAAGTGCTTGACTTGTACGATGAGGCGCCACGGCCCAAGCGACATGTGGCTGCTGAAGATGACGAGTACGAGTTTGTCGACGTCTGAGATGGGCCTCCTGACTTGTTCTCATTTCTTATCGACTCTTCTTCACATGTTTTGCATGCACGACTCTCCAGCGTCCCTTGACATCTGATATCGACTTCGCTATCGGTTCTCTCATTGATGTTTACATTTGCATTATGGTCGTTGGCAGCATCAATAGGTGAGCGTCTGGCGCTTTTCTGAGGACTTGAGCAGCCATATACCCGTCTCGGCTTGCTTGCTTTTAGTTTGGGATATTGGTATGGTACACTTGGTCATGAACTGGACAAGTGACGGCCACGGGAGTTTGTGGCCTGTACTTTGTGTTCTGTGGGTTCAATCCTATAGCTGCACATACACACACGTAGTTGGTAATGATATCGCTAGGGGCGGCATGAATTCATGTCGTTCAAACCGAGTTCGTCTTGCGGTCAGTTATAACTGCAGTTGCTGAGGGTGGCTAGCTTGCGAGAATCTGACCATGTTTAGTCACGCAAACATGGCGATGTTGAATATCTGGTGAAAATGGCGCAAGGGCATGGTGATGCGCGGCCTCGTTCCCTAATAGGATGAAAGCGCGACGGCACATGGATGGAGTGACGGAGCGCTTGGCCGGCGGCTGATTAGCCTACGTCATCGCCCATCAGAGACCAATGCGCCTCAGGTCTCTCACATTTCTAGAATCCCAACGCTTGCGACACCCCGACTAGAAGCTGTCGCAGCAATTCCAGTCCCACGCTATCGGGACACTATACACCACTCGTCTGCCCCCCCAAGCACTCGGCTTGCCACGAGCACAGCCCCCTTTCAACTCTTTTATCGCCCGCGGCCTCGTGCATGGCGCGCGCCGTATAGAGTGATCCAACCGACGTCCCCCATCAACACTCAACATGACAGTGTCAGTCGACAATCCACCACCACAATCAAAGGGCAGCCGGCCACGATGGATGCTCCACGTCCAGGCGCAGTTTTGGCGCGTTCTTATGGGCATCGGCATGATGCTGCATCGTCTCGCCCGACCACGACCACCGAAGCCTGCCTTCCATAGGGACATCGATGCCACCGTCTCGCCGCTGAAAGGCAAATTCCGCCTCAACTTCTACGTGCCCAAGGAATACAAGAAGCAAAAGAAGCTCAAGGGTACTAGGAAATACCCTGTTGTCATCAACTTCCACGGAGGCGGCTTCGTTCTAGGAACCGCGCATGACGATGCGCGCTGGTGCGGAGTTGTTGTTGACGAGGTCGGAGCCGTCGTCGTCAGCATCGATTATCGTCTTGCGCCTGAGAACCCGTTCCCCACAGCCGTCGAAGATGGTGCCGACGCGGTACTCTGGCTGGCACAACATGCCGAGGAATTGATGCTCGATGCGGATCGGTTTGCTATATCAGGCTTCTCCTCGGGAGGAAACATGAGCTTTACTGTTCCGCTCTGTCTGCAGGGCGAACTCTTTGATCGAACTACATCTGGCGCTAAGATCATCGACGACCGCGCCGGCAGCGTTCCCAATGCTATCATCCGGCCTCCTCCCACGTTCGGCCAGAACCTCACACCGAATGGCTCTCGCGTGCCCCTCGTGCGCCAAAAGTCACGCCTCGACCGCATTGCTATGCTCCGCCAGACAGGCGCCTCCTCGCTGTCGCTCATATCCTCGTACAAAGACACCTCAGGAGTTTCAGTCATGACGGAAGCGTCCAACACTGTTCTCAAGATCAGAGGCATAGTATCCTTCTATCCACCTACCGATTACACACAAACCCGCGCGCAACGTCGAGAGACCTGCTCAAGGGTTGACCAGAACCTTCCTGCTGTCTTCACCGATCTTTTCGACGACTCTTATCTCCAACCACCCTCGCTCGATCTCGCACACCCATGGCTTAGTCCCGGTATGGCACCTAAGCACATGCTCGAGGCGCTCCCTGACGACATTGTCCTCTTCTGTTGTGAATGGGACATGCTTCTTGCTGAAGGTGAACGATTCCGTGACCGTCTGCAAAAGGATCTCGGAAAGCGTGTGCACTATCACTGTGTACCTGGTGTGCCGCATGGCTGGGATAAGGCACCTAACCCTCTTAGAGAGAGCCCTGGTGCTCGACAGCAATATATGGTAGCATGCAAAGAGCTGAAACGCATGTTTGACATTGAGGATGACGAGGAAGATTCGCATCAGAACTTGCCATGTAAGAAATACCACAAGAGTGTGGACTTGGGCAGGGCGGGTCTGCAGGCGCCGGAGCAGGCTCGAGTGTAAGCTGTGACTTCGTCTTTTTCTTTTAAGCTTGTGGTTATGTGTTCCAAAGTCTCACATCAGCGGCGTTTGATAGGTTCTCGAGGCTGAGCCATCCTTAGCATTTGTATGGAGGCGTATCTTTTCTGTAAGCACATTTGTCGTGTGGGGTTTTATATTGTTCTCTAAGTGCTGTGTGATGTTGTTATTTCGTGGGTCCTTCAGGACACCTCACATGTGTGTGTGTGTGTGGCTGCCGAGGTTGGTAGATACTAAATCGATTCGCTTTACTCCGATATTCAGAAAGCTGAACAGAAATGATATTACGTTATTATTACTCCCTAAATATTGCGATGCCATTTCAGTGAGTGAAATACGATAAATCACCACTCCTCTGTACAAGTACAAGTCGGTATCCTAAGACGCGCTAGATGATTAAATCCTGTTCAGGCAGGCAAACAAAGATGGTAAATTAATACCCATGCTTTGCAAACTCCTTCTCCGTCCAGTCCCATAACTCGTTCGCAAGCTTGTCGTTGTTGAGTATCGCTTGCGTGTACTCCTTACCATTACCCGCCGACGTGTAGAAAGCACCATTCTTGACCTGGCTCTTCGGTGCGGTACTGGACCACAACTGCATCTTCGCACCCTCGGGAACACTAGTCAAAAAGGGACTACACACGATAGAAAACAACGTTCCTAGCACAGGCCGTCTCGTCTTCAAGTTATCCCAAATGCCCGTGTTGACAACGCCCGGGTGTAGAGCGGTGGACGTCATGTTGGGATATTTCTGGGCGCAAAGCCTGCTGAAGTAGTAGTTTGCTAGTTTCGACTGGCCGTAGCGAGCCACGGAGCTCAATTCCTCAGCAGGTGTTGTGAGTGTGGGGAATAGGATACCCTCTTTAGGGGCTTGCTTGAAGAGTTCGGAGCTGAGGTTGATGATGCGAACGTCGCTGTTTGGTTGCTCGGCGGTACGCTGGAGTAGTGGGAAGAGGAGCTTGGTGAAGAGAGTAGGTCCCATGTAATTGCTGCCGAATTGGATCTCGTAGCCATCGCTGGTCAGGTTGGCGGGGTTACCAGTCGTTCCGGCGTTGTTCATTAGAATGTCAATTCGGTTGTTCTCGGACACGATACGATCGGCGGCTTGCTTGACGGACGCGAAAGATGCCATGTCCAGCTCGAGATAATGTATTCTTCCCTTTGCTGAGGGCACTTCTTTTTCAATCTCTTCGATTGCTGCATTGCCTCGCTTGCTGGTTCGGGCTGCGAGATACACCTTATCTGGGTTGTGCTTGACAAGTTGAAGGACGCTTTCTTTGCCGAGACCACTGCTACCACCCGTCACGACGATAGTCTTTCCCGATAGATCGGATATGTCTTTTGCAGGGTTGAAATGCATCTTGTAGATGACGTGGTTGAGGGATGCGATACTCGAGTCTACTGCGGTATCTCGTCCGAGAAAAAAGACCGTGGTAGATTGGTGATAGCTAGCAACTTGCGTGGACTGATGGATTGTGAGATTTGATAGGATTCTTGGAGACTGATAGTTTGAATGGATTAGTTGGTCGTCAATAGATATTGATAGTCTATGAATATGTTCAAGACATGAATCTGAAAGAGGTGTCGACCCTATATACTGTCATGAAAGATGACAACGGTAGACGCCGCTTTGAGCGCATCGCAGATCTCATCCGAAGATTGGTAATTTCAATTTGAATCGTAAAGTCTGTTATTTCCAAGGAAAAAAAGTTACAAGAGAAACCCGATTAGGCGTCTTGCTGGTCCGTCTTTAGACTTTCGGCAAGACTCGTGACCGACCGGGCAAACGTGTCCCCGCCATTCTTTTCTCTGTACACTTGAACGTCGTTCACTACGATGTTTTCCGTAGGGCGCATATACTTAGGGTACGCGGTCGGCCGTAAGGTATACCAGTACCTACTTCCCGTTGGTTGAGGGGCGAACTGTAACGATGCCTCAACTCAGCTATCGAGCCAAGTCATGATCAGAACAACACAGAATATTAGAGTTTCGCATGTCATATGTTGCTCGCGCTCAGTCTTTCCGCCAGTCTCGATATGCATACAAACCTTGGAAAGATTACTCAACACGTTCTTTAGAGTCTCCGCCGTCCTCCCTCAGTCCCCAAACGGACGCTTAGCGTATTTCTTGATTAGTGAACACCTTCGCGGTATCTTGCGAAATGTCGATAAGTATTGCAGAACCTGTCGTTGTTCAACCTTTGCTATGCGCCTGCAAATATGTGCGATTGACTCGGATGAATGATTTGCCCGGGCCATCCCATTCAAGGCAGCAAGCATTCCGTTGACTTGTTGTCTTGTGCCATCATGCCCTACTCGAACCAGGCGCAGATGTAACGCCTGCAACACTCCTTGCAAGTGGCGACGACGCCCATACGATTTACGGCACGAATGGGTCATGATATACTCGGGCGTGGTCAGGGGAAGGAGAAGGAAATGAGTGTGTGTGTTGTGCACAATAGATATCCAGAGGAAGAAGGCGACCAGGAGCAGAGCTGAGTGTGGCTTCGAGTTCATTTTAATCTTTGCATATACTGCCACGCGGCGGGAACAACGACGCGAAGAGATATTGCTGATCAGGATACCAGGTTCGCGACTTCAACAGTCGTTGGAGTTGATTAACCATTTTGGCCTTTTTAATCTTCGCCAGACCCCAGCGAACGAGATCCAAAACTGGGCTGCCAGTTCTGCTTCACCGTACGGAGCAGAAGCAGTTGTTGACCACGTACAAGCGGGCACAATGCTGGCCTGTGAAGTTATGATTGAAGTGCTGCGCCGGATTCTGTCGAAACTGCAATATTTTTCTCCGTGGAGGAAACCTGCGTCGCTCCAACGTTCGAAGACTGTCCAGGCCTGTATATCAGTCGCTAATATATCTCACAGGAGTCTGCATTTGACACGCGTCTTCGATGTGTACTCGTATATAACGCGACGGCCAGCATCAAGTTGTGCTTGAAATGTTCGAGAACGATCGTTCGATTAATCGCATGGTAAGGTTACAAAGCGGCGCATCGGCACGTTACACGAGCAAGCTGTAGGGTTGTGGCAGGTAAAATGCTTATACTCGCCTTCGGCATATCCTCTGGATTAGGCATACACAGGTGGAATGTGTTTTGTATGTGCGGCGTATTAGCCGCCTACACAACATCGCGTAAGTGCCTGAGGCCAGGCTGTTATGCCTCGTTTCAATCTTCCGTCGCGCGTATACATGCCTGCCTCTGATTAGGAAGGCGGCGAGACCTCGACCGCAATCTCTGGGTATTTCCGAAACGTCGCGCCGTTATCCATGGTGTGTTGGGGCCTCATTTCCCGTCGATCACAGTCGGGCGAGCACTTACTGCTTCAGCGCAACCAAGTGTCGCAGTGTTTGCTGTTATACCTGTGTCTCTCAACTTTCGTATCGCAAGAATAGATCTCAGCTCTGTCGTCTCGTAGCACATTGAGTTGTGGGCAGCTTTGACTGTTGACAATCTTAACACAGCCAGTGATGTCGGTCAGATCGTCTTGGCGGCGGATCGCGAAATTGCTCCTTGGCCCAGCGTCATCTTGAAACCAGGCTTGTGCTTACCACAACTTCTTAGCCCTGCAGCATTTGTCGCTTGTTCCCCCGGTATCGTCACCCTGCCACGACGCTTGCGAGGTAATCCCGTCAAAGTTCATGGGTATTGTTGGCACGGCAAGCCGCGGGGCCAATCAAATTTACTCATCTCATACAATGTGCATTACCCTGGTCCTGGCCTCGTGACGGGTTCTCGACTCTGCAATTTCTTTCAGACGCGCGAAAGTGGATTGATGATTGCCGCTGGTATGATGGCAGCGAAGTGTGGAGGCGCCAGGTTCGTTTCCTGGCGGACCGGTGGTGATACTTGCGCAAATCCCGCCGTTCTTTGCATCTCTTTCTTCTCTCAACCTTCCCACGACTGTGTCGCGGCCTGTTCCATCTTTCTGGCTCAATTGAGCTGTCCATTCCTTTACATCTGCGCCCATATTTTCTCGTCTTTCCTTCAACCTCAATTTACTTTCTGATACTCTAACGAACTTGAAACCCAAGATGCCCGGGATGCTTACAAGGTCGAAATCACTGAGGTTTCTGAGAAACAATCGCAGGGACGCCACGGAGCAGGACAATGGGGACTCAATGCCGCCTGTTAAGGGCCCTCAAACAGACTTTGACAAATACAAGGCAACGACTTCCGATTCGAGGACCGAAGGAAAGCTAGGAGTTCCGGACATGGCAAAGCGGCCAAGCACATCAGGTGGACCTGGAGAGCGTCCACTCATGTTCCATAGGAAAACAAATCCTGGACCATCGATCTATTCTCAGGATCATATCCACTCCTTTCAATCACCCACTACTTCGACAACTGTACTCTACAGCCCAGACGCCACGAAAGAGCAGGGAGTCATTGGTATCGCTCTTGGGTCGCCTACCTCAAGCTCACACTGGAAAGTCACATCTCAGGCGGCAATATCAACAATAGATCCTAGGTTTCCTGATTCCCCAATGGCGACGCTCAGCCAACCCAACGATTCCTCAGTCTCCCTGGCCAGCCGCCCGGAAGCACCAAAATCTAAACTCAGCCGATGGAAGTCGTTATTCCGGAAAGCACCTCCACCTCAAGCGGAAAAGCCCTCATTCTATCAGCTGGCGCAGACCGTCACTGCAGCACCGCGCGCAGACAGCCACCATGATGAAGAAGCACTTGAGCCTCAGGCACCTCAACCGGAAGAAAAGGAGAGGGAGAAACTGCGCAGTGTGTCCCCGCCCACCTATCGACCCAACATCCGAGCATCGCGCAAATGGGCACCAGGAGAGTTTGTTCCACCTCAATCGCCACCAGAGACGTCTGCGGCTAGGGAACGTGCATCAACGCTCGGAAGTGTCCCATCACATGGACCTGCAAAGTCCATGCAACGGGCTTTTACAACACCGGATCTGGGAGCGCGAGGCATGCCAGACGACGTCCCACCTGTGCCACAGGTTGAGGTATCGAAAGTCAGCAGCAAACCGCCACCACAAGATTCAACCGCGTCTGCAGGCGATGGAGGGCCTCTTCTTGACGTCAGTCTCCCCGATATCACAATGGAGAGATACAGTGTTATGTTCGGAAACCTTTTGCAATCTGACCTGAACCGATCATCTCTCTTGGCCCGGCGACAGGGCAACACGGAGAAGGTCAAACCATTGCAAGAACTGTCTGCAAAGGTATGTACTCGCAGTTCTGGCTACGTCGGATCTTGGCTAATAGCACAGCAGGACAATCAAAAGGACGAAAGTTCTGTAGATTACAGCCTCCAACGCAGGGTAACGTCGCCTACTCCAGCGTCTGGTTCGCCCCGGCTCTCACTCTTCCCCTGCACCAACCCAAGTCGCGCACCATCACCTCTCTCTGGATCCGTGATGAACCGCAGCAGGAAGGATCTCAAGCGATCTAGAACAATGCCCACAAAAACTCCATCTAAACAAACATTCGCTCAAAATGCGGAGATTCCGGCGGTACAGATTGATTCCGCAAAGCTGAAGCCTGTACTATCTCCATATCTGAAGCCATCGTTGACCCCTACTTCAATCCGCAGCTTCGAATCTGATACCGACTCAATCACGATTATAGTTGCTCAAGCATCTCCCGGTCACCCCAAACCCATCAAGCTACATCTCGATGATCGAGAGCCTGAATGGGAGATTTGCTCCAAGCCAATCAAGGCTACGAAAAGCGAAAACCTTACGGTCAACAGTGTGCCAACCTCCCCACTCATCCGCTCTCCTTCGCAGAAACAACCAAGAGTCACGAAACTCAGTGCCCTCTCATCACATCCATCTTCTGCTCCTCTCGACGCACCCTCGCCTCTGCAAAGGTTGCAGAGTTTGTCAACTCCACCACACTCGGCCAGCAGACTCGGCGAGAAGCGTGTAGAGATCCAAGCAAGAAGAAGGGAAGGAAGGACAGAAGAAGTCGCTACGGCGAAAGCCATGGTGGGCGTTGCAAGGAGTGTATCTGTGAGCAGAGCAAACAGCCCAAGAGCGGTGGTTCGTACCATGACAAGCCCGCATGAGGATCGCGTTGTGGATCGATTGGCCCTCACCCCTACGATGGTGGAAGTCAGGAACCGAAAGAGCCAGAGAGTACAACTCGAGGATGCCTAGACTTTGTGTCTTTCTTCACTTCTAAAACTCTTCTTTTTTGACTGAAATTTTTTCCTATGTCTATTAACGTTGAATCGCGTTTCTAGCGATCAGGGCTTGGTGTTCCTTGGGCGTTGCGCGCTGACACAGCCCGAGTTGCACATGCACTCGCGTGTCATTTTGGTTCATGCGGTTTGTTTCTCATAAGCGGGGGTCGTTCTGGTTGCATTATCCAGGAGATCCCTGGACTTCCTTATGTGCGTATATATGGGGAATAGGGATGATCTAAGACGTACTGCTGGTCGGTGTGTAAGGAGCTAGATGGGAAAGGAACTGGGCTAGGCGGAAAATGTTGATACCGCTGGAAGGCCTACAGGCCTCCGAATGATACTTTTTTTTAACATCCATCACTAGGTTCATTGTGATTGTGTCGCTTGCTACAGCTTGAGAGCTTTAGGCTTCTGCCGAAGGCTGTCCAGGCATGATCTAAACCCAAATTCCTGGGATGGGGCCGAGAGGATCGATCGGCGAACTTCTCGGATGAATTGCATGCCTTTCTCTTGGAGCATCGTCCGAATTTAGGCAGATGAATACCTTGAGGGTATGTTCTGGTGTTGGGTGCATCAGTTTGGAAAACAAGCTTTGCTGCACCCAGATCATGACCGTGACTTGTCGCGCACTCGCAGAAGGGCACACGTGCAGTGCGGTGGCTATGGCGCGAACGACCCCGCTCGCGACGTCCCGCGACAGGCGAGAAGGCACATCCTCATCTCCTGTCGCCCATTCATAACAAGCTTTGATAGGAGACATCAAGCTCCAGCCTTTTGCCTCCCAGACTTGGAGCTCACGCTCTGCATTCAAGTTCGTTTCATACAGAGATGGCTTTCAAGCGACTTTCAAGGGCGCGGGCCATCGTTTAGCCCCCACCTCTTTGCTAGCAAAGTTCAAGCCTCCTCCGATGCGATAAGCCATCCTAGTGGTAGCACGGTACATCTGTCGGGTTTGCAGCCGTACTAGTCGCAAACGTGATTGCAGAGAAGCCATCGGCCAAGTCTTTCCCGCTTTACGATACAGTATGCCACTCGCTTTCAGGTTAGGCGATATCACACAGCCTGCCTGGCGTACAGCCACAGCTGCTCTTCATTGGAGAGGCCGCTCCAGATAGCAGTGAGCGCTGCACCTCGGTCAAGCAGTACTGTCGCCTACTGTGGGCTCTCGCCAAAGGCTTAGCCCAATATATACAGCGGTCGCATGCCATCCGTTCAGGCTCGAGTGAGGCTGAGTACCAAAGACATGGAACCCTCTTCAGCCTTCTGAGCAACTTCCATTTCTCCCTCTACAATCATTTCACTTTATTTCAGCTTGGCTTTCGAGTCGGTGTTTTTGATCTAGACAGGATCGTCCCACGTGACGGCTCTACGCCTAGCTCTGCTTGTCCTCGCACTGATCAAGCAGGTGTAATAGAGGGCTTACCACCGTATACGATTCGACACCCTCCCAGAATTAGTGGACCTGAACTTTGAGAGCCCACTGAAACTGCCAGTTCGAGAACTGCTCAGCCTTAGCTATCTTCGATCCAACGAGTAGCAATCCCAATACAAGTCCACGCACCAATGGTACCAATACGAGCTGGGAGCGCTGCCTAGCCAACCCGCAAAGTTCAGCAACTGTAACAGCGAGGAAGGAGCATTCCGAGGAGTATGTCTGGTCTTGAGGTAAGTAGACATTTTGTGTTCTCGATATCCTTCGGCAGCTGTGTATACCCTTCGTAGATCCTAGACTCGGCACGCGACCTCTCAAGGTTCATGAATAACAGTATTATGTTCTGATCGTTGCTTATTATCATCTAGATTGTCGCAGCTGTTTCCGCAGTCGTTTCTGCCTTCCATGGTGGATCGGAGCTACTCAGAATTGTCAAGCAGAAACGTCGCGCTCGTAAAGCCCGCGATCAAGTTCAACAAGAATGGCAAGAGGAGCAGCTACAAGCTTCTCTACTCGCAGGGGAGCAGCAGATCGATCTTAGGTACAAACAAGATCAGAGAGAGCTGGGCGACTATGTTCGCGTAGGAGATGGTGAGTTCCATGATAGAGGTTCGTACAGTAGATTGGATAACTGACGCTGGCGTACAGATACAGCTCGAGAACGCCTCTATCATATAGGGTTTATGCTGCAGGCTCAGATTATCAGCAGCTTACAGCAAGCTGCTACGAAGTAGGTAATACAACGACTTTCATGCCAGAACAAAGCTAACTTTGACATTCAGCGGAGACTTGCCCCTCAACTTGCATGTCCTACACGAAGCCTCGATCACGAAACGGACAGAGACGCTGACAACGTTGGATGAATTGAAGCAAAGGATATACATAGCAAGACCTATGGTACGGCAATTGAGGCCGTTCGGCGAGGATCATACGGGCGCCCCGCATGATTACGGCAAGGCGCACCCACTATCGGAGAGCTATCCGACCGCAAGCTTCCCATCACCGATGGACCTTGAGGATAAAAGATATACCTTGGCCGACTATTGTGGGAACCAGGCTACCGAAGATACGTCTAGCAGCTCTCGATCGGCCTACACGCTTGCACAAGCTGCAGATCCAAACCTCAATTTAGCTCTGGATGGACTCCGCCCCGGAGACCGCGCATCTATTATGAGAGATATCCAACACATAATAAGCTCTTATCAAGGACTCCGTGTTGAGAACGGGTCAAGGTCTCCAAAAGGCTACACGCATAGCGGAGGCCATCCTGCCCGACGAGATACTCTTACCATGCTGAACGACAGAGACTTCTATGATGAAGCAGTACAAGAGCAGGACCGAAGCCTACTGCAGCGTTCTCATGGCCCATCGTCCCCAACCGATGCAGTAAATACAGTTAGGCCTATGTTTGCTAGGGAGAAGGAGCAGCACATCTACAACCAACTCTCTCCCGCGAACAATCCATATCCCCGGACACGAACCCAAACGCTACATCCTCGATGGTCAGATGCCTCTAGCTCAGCGCAGTCAAATGCGGCTTCGCTCGGCCGCAACAGCTCCAATTCATCGCAAGGTGACCATGTCCGCTCTCCAGTGTCGTTATATGATCAACACGATGAAACTCACAAAGGCTCACCGTACACCTCTCCCTACATAACTGCAGAAGACAGATATACACCATCGCCCATTGCACCACTGGCACCCTTACGTCCTCAACCTAATGCGCCATCGACCACTTCTCCCAACCAAGACGCAAACACACCAACACACATGCCCTGGCCCGGATCGCAACAGCACCAAAATTCTTCTCCTCCATTACAGCATGCGGCACTGGTACAGTATGGGCCGTCACAGCCATACAATGTGCCCATTGAAGAAAACACTGTCGACATTAGCAAGTCAACACATCCTCAATATTACGTAACGCCTCCAACAGAACGTGGCACATCTAGTCCACGCAGTACCAGCGACTACCGAGCTACTGCGTATAGTTCCCCGATCGTAGCTCCTACGTCTTCAATGCCAGGGTCTACAGCTATCTCCCGCCCTCGACACGCTAGCATCACACCCTCTATCGCCTCGACCGACAGCAGTAACTCTGTCCCGATCGGTATCCTTCCAGGCCGCCGTGTGCGTAACAACATCAGATCTGATACTATACAGAGTGGACCTGCGGGCGGGGAAAGAATGATGAACGGCCGCCCAAATAAGGACAACGATTATTGGGGGTTCTGTAAAGGTGCCTGGGCTGTAAGAGAGGACCCTAAGAAGGGCATCGCTGTTCGTAGTCAGCCCCTCGGCTACTATAATACAAGACAAATCTGGAGTTGCAAGGCATGGTAAGTCATGACTGTAAGAAACGCAAGTGAAACATACACTGACTTCGTACCTCCTTATCTACAGCACCTTCACAGGCGACGTCTTCACTGCCCCGCATCCCACAAAGAAAAACAAGACTGTCGAAATCATCGATCCGCGAGTCAAGACCTCAATGTCGGGGATACGCTATCGATGGATATTCCTCGCTAAATCACACGTTAGAAAGAAGGCATCAGACCCTAAATCGAACGATGACAACTTTGGCTGTGTACTTTGCCTAGCACAGGACAAGGTAACGGGTGTTTATGGCGGCGTAGAAACACTTATGAATCATATCGCGCTTACGCATGTGGCGGACATGAGCGAGCAGACAAGGAAGAAAGTCAACTGTATTTTGGGCAGAGTGGCGAAGTGTGATGAGGAGTTTGACATCAACGTACCGATTTTCAAAGAGGAGGAGCTTGCCGGTTGAGTAAACATAACGAGCGCTGAATTTTGGAGCACGGCAAAGAACGGCGTTGCGGATTTGTGTTTGAGGATACCCTTGCTTGGATGCGCTATAATGTACCCTAAAGGTATCAGTTGTGTTCTGTATCGATATGCTATAGAAGTAAAACACTGCAAATCCCTTTGGGGTACGATTTAGACAAAACGTGTTCGTTCAAATAGCCTGATCTATGTGTAGATAATGCCTTGTCAGATAGAACCGACAACAGTGGTAATCTAATCCTCTGACAATGACTTGCCCGGCCGCCAGTTCTTGTACCGTTCTGCTTCCGCCGCAATGGTATGCGGAACATGCTGTTGTATCGCCTGCTCAAAGTGCCGCATATACACTTTTGGCTCACTACTAGGATCCATTGTGTAATCTGTAATGGCCAACTCGATAGCAACAGCGCACAACCCACTGATATCTGCTCCACTGCTCCCTTCAGTCCTCTTGGCAACAACATCTAGATCAACATCCTCTGCGAGTGGTCTCTTTCGCGTGTGGATCTGCAGAATCTGCTTTCGTGCTTCCTCGGTTGGGAGGCCAATGTGAATGTGTGCATCGAAACGGCCTGTACGAATGAGCGCCGAGTCGAGAATGTCAGGCCGATTGGTTGCGCCAATGATGAAGACGTCTTTCAGTGCCTCAATACCATCCATTTCGTTTAGCAGCGTTGTGACGACGTTCAGGCCGCTATCCTGGGTCTTCTCACGCGATTTGCCGATGGAATCGATTTCGTCGAAGAAGATGATGCAGGGTTTTGCTGCGCGCGCTCTGCGAAATACGTCGCGGATAGCTCGCTCCGATTCGCCAACGTACATCTTGATGAGTTCGGAACCTTTGACTGCGAGGAAGTTTTGTTTGCTCTCTGTTGCGACGGCTTGCGCGATCAGGGTCTTTGCGCAACCGGGCGGGCCGTAGAGCAGGACACCTTTGCGAGACTGAGGTCCGCCAAATTTGATGTCAAGGTCAGGATACTAGAAGCATGGTTAGTGTTGTGGTCGGATTGTAGATGTGGATGAAGGACCAAGGACGCAATATATGAGGCGTTGCGACATGAGGGAACGATGCACAGTTGAAACGTACCTTGAAGGGACGGATAGTGATGGCCTCGAGCACAGCGCGGACGTGATCCAGACCAGCTATGTCCGTCCATCTGACCTTGGGAACTTCGAGGATGCTGTCCTTGAGTACCGTCGGTTGTACCTCGCCAAACACTGCATCAAAGTCCTCTTGACGGACGTAATCTGTCTGCTCAAGCTTTTCGCTAAATGTAGTCTTCTCCTCTTCGCTTATCGACTCGTCTATCTGCTGTTCTCGTCGGTCTCTTGCGAGAAGACACAAATCGTGAATGTCACGTCCGACGAAGCCGTGCGTACGCTCTGCTAGCGCAAGGAAGTCAAGGTCTCCAAGCCTGCTAGTGCCCAAGATCTGTCTTAGGATATCCTCTCTCTGCTTAGCGTTAGGTGGAAAGAGTTCGAGCTTTGTCTTGAAAGCTGACGGTGACCGAAGGCTAGTATCAATGTCGTATATGCTACGTGCTGCTGCTGCGACAACTACTTGGCTGCCGCCCAATTTTGCTAGCTCAGTCCGCAGCTTGTTTACGAGTGTCTCGGCTTTATCGAGGAACCTATCAAGATTGTCCATGATAATCAAGCTCGGTTGGTTGCCACGAGCGTCCTCAAAAGCGTCGGATATTGCCTTTGCTTGTCCTTTTGGATGTGTATCGGGATCTACTCGGTACACTTCTTGCCACGGGCATTCCGCTAGTCGCTCTAGTAGAAGACTTTTACCAGTACCCTCGGGACCGTGTAGTAGGAAAGAAGTAGGTCCACAGAGGCGTAGGTCGTGTTGGTGTGGTAGAGTATTTGTGAGATAAGAGAGACGTTTATTCATGGTAGTAACGTGGCTAGAGAGGCCACCAATTCCATCACCCCTTACTTGAAGAGTTTGTGTAGAAGTTTTCGGGGCCTGCTGAGTGGGGATATCACCAGTGGTGGTGACTTGAGTGATAAGCTCATCGAAATACACTGCATGTTTTTCAGTTGGACTTGGGTCAATATTCTGCACAGTGACGCGCAGCTTCTGGCTCTTCTGCTTGAAGCCTTTCTGCTGAACTGGAAAGCTGCATCCTGGGAGGATGATGTCGGAGTCCACTGCTACGCGGTCGTCAGAAGTGCTAGCCAAAGATACCCGTTGACCTACCTAGAGTATGTCGTAACCAGTACAAGAGTTGCTCGTTTGAGCTGAACTTGACAGCTTGGTTCTGAGCATCCGCAAGACTGATCTCTACGGATTTGAGAGGTTTCCAGGAGTCGACCTTCTCGATGAAAACGGGATCATTGAGAGAAAGCTCGTATTGCTCTCGCAGGAGATCAGACACCTTGGCAATCGTCTTGTTTCCAGGGTTCGTCTGAGAGGCTAGCCAGGCTACTCCATAGCCTTTGAAGCCAGCAGCTGTACTTAGTCGGACACAGTCGCCGTTGACAAGCCCCAGCGCTTTTAACTCTTTTTGCGATAGATGAACGCGGAAAGCGCCACCCTCGAGCGCATTACCGGGAATGCTGGGCGGATTACGCTCCAGCGGACGTAGGGTGTAGGATGTTGCTGGACTCATATTATCATCTCGCACTGTAACGAAGGTGGGAGGTGAAAATTCCAGAGATTGCTTGCTGTATTGCTGTGAGTCACGTCACGTGCCTAATTCACGCTCCAAGTCTCTAAGCAGTACGCAGATCGAATCCAGCTCCACCAGTGTCTCTTAGCGTAGCATTTCCAGTGCTCTCCAGTGTCGCCCACTGTGGTGAATAGTATTAGGGTGACTAAGCGACTGGTGAGCTAGGCCAAATGGGTGTGCTAGCGCGGCCTTGTTCCGAAGCTTTTCTGAGTATCGGGCTCGTAAGAGGGCAGCTTGCAATGTAACGAAGCTGCGCAATTGATGCCACCGCCGCGCCTTCCTCGACATCTTCGGCCATGTCATCCCTCAGGGACCGCGTACCAGATTCGCTGCGCCCACAGGTCGACACACGTACTATCCTCGACCGCCGGCGATGAATCCCCGCAAACCACGACTACGAACAGCCACGATGCAGAGAAGAAAAGCTGGTGGACCGCGGCTTTGAGCAATATTGCACCCTGGAATCATCAGACGTCATTTACCGAACCACAACAGCAACCACAACCGCAACCGCAACTGCAGGACACTCGTGCTTCCGACTCAAACGAAGCGAAAAATGGCGTATCTGAAGAGCAGACCCAGGAAACTGGGGCTGGGCAGACCAGAGAAATAACTGAATCGCCAGCGAATCGTCAGCGAAGGATACTGCGTTCGGAAGCACGTTCACACGGCAGAGAGGCAGACAAGATCGAGAATCGAGACCAAGATATCATTCCAGTGAGGAAGTACAGAAGTTCTTTAGAGAGGCCGTTGGACCAACCAGTCGTTCCGAGAAAAGTGCTGTCCTTGCCTGTCGCCCCCGATAGGAGTGGCCATGTGCGGATACAGGAAGCCACCATACAGAAAGTTCAAAGGAAGCAAACTCCGATAACGATCAGCGAGAAGGACGCTACTACAAGCCCTCAAAACGATGATACTACAATCATACGACAGCAGCTCCAAAGCTTGTTTGAGCAAGTGAAAGCCCTTCAGGTCGCATTGGAAGCGAAGATTGCGGCGGGGCAGCAATCATCTTCGACTCGCCAGGAAAACGACACTCCGACTGTGGAGCATACACTATCTCAGACCGATGAGCGACAATCAACATCGATACAGTCGGGGCCGAGAGTCACTTCAATGACCAGAAGCCCGGCTCCCTTCCGTCATGCAGAGACTCCTTTCCCAAAGACTGGTTCTGGCACTCTTTGGTACAGTCAAAGAGCTTTCCGTGACTCGGCTTGCACATTAGGAAAGGTAGCCACAGAACTAGAGGCAATGCGCTCTCCTAGCGTAGCCTCAGTTGCTCGGCATCTCCGCAGTCGCCTGCGTGTATTGGTTGAAAACGCAAAACTTGAGAGCGACTGGAAGCTGAGGGGCATGCTAGGGTCCCACTACACGAACTGGGACCTTCTTTATGCGGAAGACAGATACTCTCCTAACGTGATCAATCGGCCAGATCTGCTCTTGAAGCTGCAAGTGATAGATATAAGGTCAAAGTCGCACAGTATTTGGAGGAATGTGATGCAGTTGAAGAAAGAGCTTTCAATCATTTCGCCAAGAGTACCAAGAGTGCTGAGGATGGTTGTCTCGCACATGGAGGAATCCCGCGTGCAAACTCGCGACCATAAAGAAAATACGGAGAAGGCTCAAAACAACGTTCCGTCAAGTAGCTTAGAGAAAAAGAACGATGGGGAGAGGTTGACGCGACGAATTCATACGCAGTCGCGTTCGATGAAGTCATCAAACGATCTTAACATCACTACTGAGGATAGTCGCCGGAAAAGTACAACAGTGGAGCGATCCTTGAGGACAGAGGACGAAACAACACCAGAGTCAGGACTGAGATCAGAGTCTAGCACAACTACTACTACCAACGTGTCTTCTAAACCGACACCAGGTACATCCGAGCTAAGTGAGCAATCGCTTCTTGAGGAACTCTTCCCAGAAGCGAGCAGCACTCCACAACCTCGTCAGCCTGAGCCAAGCGACCGGTACCCAAAGCTCAATCTTCCGGACTCAATGCCTATTGTTCGTCGAGAATTCTCCGACCGCACTCCGTCACTCAAAGAGCAAGTGGTTGAAGCCTTGCAGAAGCAGGGCGAGCAAATCACCGTTCTCCAACTCACGAATTGTAGCACTGAGCTGACGGAAGCCGATTTCCGTCGGATCATACCAAAGAGCAAGCACATCGAAGGCTGGCACCGAGATGAGGACTTGTATAAGATCGTGCCTGGCCGTGACCCCTTGAGTCTGGAGCGCCTACCCTTTTACTATCTCCTCTTCAAGAACGCAGAAGCAGCCCTTGCGTACCAGAAGAACGCTTCGAGGCTGCACAAGCTGAGCGCTCTCCATCAACCTGCGAACATCTTCTCCGCCATCCCGCCACCTAAGGGGTTCCTCGAAGAGGGCGAAGACATCACAGCTGCGATCTCATCCTATAACCTCCTACCCACACACCACCCCATGAGCCTGAACGTTCTGATGCAACCTTACAACCCTGCACTACGCAACTTGATCGAGAGAGGTGGCTACCAACCCATTGCACCTGCAGTCGATGAGAAGGGAAACCACATCTGGAGGGTACTCATGCACATCGAAGGCTACGAGCCTACACCTTCGGACCTTTTCAAGATCTTCTCTCGCGACGCGTACAAGCACGGCATGATTCTCCCCCTCCGTAACGAATCACAAGCATCGATTCATCGTCTCCGCGACATGATCAACCTCAAGATGTCGTCCAAAGCTATCTCGTCGAGTCGTCCCCGCGCATACGGCACTTTTGACCAGTCGACCTCCGAGTCGGAGATGACGTACGATGATCCGGCGATTCAGAGCATGCTAGGTGGTGCAGATGAAGATAACCCGAGCCAGCAGAACCAGCTGGTGATGAATCGCGTGTACAATCGATGGGTGCTGGATTTTGAAGACGAGGATATGGCTCGGAGATGGAGCGTGCGGTGGCATCGTAGAATGCTGCCCGAGTTGAGCCATACGAAGGGAGCGTGGAAAGACAGTGAAGAGGCTAGAATCTGCAATACGGAACTTCTGTGGTGATGACATGGTTGTACGATAGAATGTGTATATAATGATGAGTTTTGCTATAAAACTCCAACTTTCTAGCGATCTGCGAAGTCGTTCTACGTGGTGTGTAACACCGGGTATCATAATGTCATTTCTCCCGCGCCAAATGTGGATCTCAAGCCTTTGAGTACTAAGAGCTGGTGTCGGCCGCAGTCAGGAACGCCGGACTCCAATATTCGTTCTCGCCAGCTTGTGTATCCACCCATACCAGACTGTCAGCCATGAGGTCCTCGACGACAGCATGGGCGCGAGGTCTCTCCCAGTTGAGGTTCAGCTGCAGCATGGAGACGGTGACGTAGCCGAGAACCTGTATGGCTTCCAGCACGGTGCTCTGGTCTGTGTTCAATTCCTTGGGCACGCTTCTTATCAAGCTTCTGTGCCCAATCTTCATAATGGAGAAGCACGATCCAAGTGGAGCGAGCGAGTCTACGGCGCGCTTGATGTCGTCATCGCTGACTTGCATGCTTCCGCCTATGCGCTGTGACTTGGATATGCGTGCTTTGAGATCCGATACACTGATCAGCCCGCCATTCTCGGATCGCGTAGCCCGACACTCCTCCACAATCAAGACGCCCAAGTTGAAGTAGAAGTCGTTGACACTCCCGCCCAGCAGTTGTGCCCAGATGCTCTCCCCACCACCTGCACTCGCCTTGCCATCTTTGCCATCTCGGTGATACGACGATGCGAGGAAGTCAATGTTGAGTGCCGAGCACATGCGCGCGAACTCGGCGCGGAATGCGGGATTGGCGCGAATGTCCTTGGAGTGTGTGACGGCGAAGTTGTGGAGGAGGGATTGAAAGACGGAGAGCTGGGTCGAGAGGGAGTCGGCATTGCGGGTTCGGAGCGTGGCGCCATGGGACGTATAGTGGTGGTTTTGCAAACCGCGTGAGGAGAGCGAGGAGAGGCCTGGGGTGCGGCGACGGTCCATGGTGGTGTTCGTGTTCGTGTGCGTGCGCATGGGCGTGCGCCTTTGGTGCGTTTCTTCTAGTGAATTGGTAGCTCGGACGGACGCGACCAGAACGTCGACGTGATGCAGGGTCTGTTGGGCGATCCAGTTCCACAGTAATAGCTCGAGGCTACTGCTCGTGGCTACTGCTCGTCGGCGAGACGCTTGCGAAAGATTGCAAATGCAGGTGTCACCTGCAACTGCCACCTTGGGTGCACCGTGTCTCTTAGGAAAGACTCAAGAGTTGCACTACTCGTAGTTGGTCGGGCCGGATAGGTAGAGGAGGTAGATCGTCAAGACGTCGCGTACGCAGATCGCATCTAGACAACAAGATGCTTGCCCACGACCGCTTCTTGTCAAGGAACACCCATTAATCAGACAGTTCCCTCCACCTCATGCGGAGTCGGGGGAGATCGTCATACCGAGCCGAGCCTCATGCTAACTCAATGACGTATGGCGCGCGTTTCGGTGAGATATCGGTCGCTCTTTTCCCGGTATATGGCATCAGATGTCCACACGTTTCCTGATAGCTACTCATGCGACAACACAATCTTAAGTGCTGGGCGCGGCGCGTTCACTCAAACTTATTCTTCCCCTTCAACTTCCCTTCGTCTGTACCTTGTTGACCCGAGCCATTAATCGACTGGACCCTGAACCAGTGCTAGGCTGCCGCGCTCACGTGTTTTAATATTTTCGCGTCTTACCCTTCTTGGAATTTATGATACCCCATTTATTCTCACCTGCTCGAGTAGAGCTTTGCGAAAAACCTCTCCTCAAAATTCTACGACATACCTGGTTCGAGGAAATCTTCCGCCCCAGAATGGACCCTTCGACAATCAACAACTGCGTACTACTGCTAAACCTGCCGCCAAAAGCACTCGCCGGCATCGACCTACTATCCTTCACATCATCACCGCGTTTTCGAGGCGTCAGGAACGTTCCGCCTGGATTGCATTTCGTTTTCACTGCAAGCGACAGTACCTTGTCTGTAAGACATGGTGCATGGTTCTATGTTTCGCCTGGTGTAGGCTCGCCACAAGTCTTTGTCAAGAAGTGGGACGAGAGCGCCGAAGACCTCGTAGCCGAGACCTCACAGGCCGAAGTTTTGAGACACAAGGCAAACCTTGGAAGCATATGGAAGGACGGCCTCACGCCATATCGCCAAAGTGTGCAGGAAGGGGATTCTGGAGCTGAAGAAAGCTGGTCCGAGGAGTCTACGGATTGGAGCAAACTTACATCACAAGTTACACCCACCATGTTATCGAGGATATGCGGGCTAAACCCCGATCACTGGAACTTGACATCCGCATCTTCCGCCACACAGGATCTGGACGACATACCGGGCCTAGAGACTAGCAATAGCATGCTACATCCGGAGAAGGAGCTGCGATTCTTGCCCATCGATCTCAAAAAGACCTGGAGAGAAGGTGCGACTGGAAGAGAACGCACAGAAGCTGCACAGGACCGGTCCTGGTTCCTCGGAGACCTTATCGACAACCATTGCCAGGCAAGGGACTTACGGGGTCGAGAGAATGAGATCTTGGGCGAGTTACAGTTCACCTTTCTCATGGTCTTGACGCTTAATAACAACTCCTGCCTCGAGCAGTGGAAACGACTTCTGCGACTCTTGCTCACATGCCGGCAAGCAGTCAAACAGCGATCCCATCTGTTTCTCGACTTTCTAAAATGCCTAAGGATACAGCTTGGTCATTGTGCCGATATGGAGGGTGACTTGTTCGATATGAACGACGTAGGCGGGGGCTTCTTGAAGCCGCTCTTCGGTCAGTTCCGCAAAGCTCTCGACGACTTTGACGGAAAATGGAAAGCAGATTTGGTAGACGAGCTGGACGACCTGCAGGATTATATGCAGAAGGAGTTTGGATGGCAACCAGAGGGTTCGTATCTGAAGCGCGGTATGTTGGAATTAGAGGACGGCGAGCGGGTAGAGATGGAAGTAAACGGCGCAGATGCAGACGACGAGTTGGGCGATTACGCGCCCACTATCGTAGACTTGACTCCTGAACAGCAAAAGCTGCTAATCGGGAGCGATATCGGTCACGCGAAGCATTCAAATGGTGAAGAGTCAGAAGACGACGTCGATCTGGACGACATGGATACGCGATACTGAAGCATTAAGTAGACCATGCATAACCGGTGAGATTGAAAGAGACATTACCAACTTACTTAGCTCACCGGTTTCGTCTCCACATACTTTATCCCGTCAAGCTTGGTGGACGCCAAACAAGCCCTACGGCGGTACTTCGTTTCAAAAATAGGCGCCTGCAGGAAGCCCCCAAGCGCTAGTATATGCATTTCTTGTATCCACGTGCTAATGGCTATTGCGGACTGCACAGCCTTACGCCTAATATAGTGAATACCATCATACTTCAACACGGTGTCTGAATTGATGTAGCCAAGCAGATGTGGCGAGAATACATGCCGATGCCCGTTGCGGCGCAGCTCGTCAGCAAGGCGTTCAGCACAAGACTTTGCACAAGATGAAGGTGGTGTAAATCTCGGCCCCCAAGTTCTGGCACAACACCAAACTGCTTCGGGAAATTACAGCCTTGGCTCGCTATTCCCTGGCACGCTATTGACACCCCTCATCGCCAACGCCCGTCACCCCATCCCAAATACAGGCAGCTGAGGCTGAAGCGCCTCCAAGCTGTGCATACAGTCATGCTACGTGTAGGAGCTTGTGACCGCTCATTGGCCTCGTTCATCAGCTAAGAGCCTTACGTGGGGAGAACGGCGAGTGATCTTCACGCGAAATGAGGGCTGTGAGCCCCCTTGGCTATGGACCCAAGCGATGCGGTACGCCTGAATGATTCGATAAAAGCCACGACTGTTCTCACATGTTGTGAACCGTCGTCCCAATACTATTCGACGTTTCTGGCTATCTTCTCACCACCGCGACAACTGGATCTCATATCCCGCTGACTTTGACGATACAAATCTTCATAATGGAGAAGCAAAACGGTAAGCAGTCGCCTTTCTTTTACCTTTGCGCTTCAAATCGACGCGATTTGATGCATCTCAGTGAACACACTGTTGTGAAGCGCATAGTTTTTTGGAACAACTACGCCGTTGTAGCTTTCAAGCTCTATACCGCACACACCACGGTTCTCTTGCTGACAGTTTTAAAGTACCCATGCAGCAATACCCTCAGTCGCCAGACATGACCGGTCACCCACCCATCTACCATCAAGATCCCAACGCGCAACAATACCAACAGCAACCAGCCATGTACGCGCAAAATCCTCAAGGCCAGCATCCGGGCTCGCCGCCGCCCCAGCACCCCCAAGGCGCATACATCCAGCCCGACCATGCTGGCGCCCAGCCTGGCATGCCTCCCCAGCAACAAAGCGGAGCCGTTTACCAGAATGCGACACCAATTGCAAGCCTAAACCGCGGTCCTGCACCTGCAGATTGTCCCGCGTGTGGACAACGTGCCATGACCAACGTCGCATTCGGTAAGTGTCCCTGTACGAACTGCATGTGAGACGTACACTGACTTGGTACTCCTACATTCAGAGACGGGAAACACCACACACGCCTGGGCTCTCGGTCTGTGCTGCCTCTGTTGCTTAGGATGTATCCCCTATGTGATGAATTCGCTCAAGGATGTCCAGCACAAGTGTGGTCGCTGCGGTGTGTTGCTTGCGACTTGGCATCGCAGCGGAACCACCGAGGTACATATTCACTCTTAGACCATGTGGGGATTGCACATGTTGGCTACACATACAGCGGAGAGGGAAGATGTTGTAGGATAGTTGAGGGACAATTGAAGGCGGATGATACCCAGAGGAAGTAAAGGGCGTTGAAGCGGCTGGGTGCAAGGTGTTTTACACGTTACGTGTCGTTGTCATACCCAGATTTGATTGTATTTGAATTGAGCATATTTTTTCTTGCTATGCTCCGTAGCGATGTGTGAGCTAGGCAGATCTTCGAGCGCACTGACTAAGGCTGGATTTTTTTAACCGGGAGGCTCATGTTCCGTCTTCGCCAGTCAAAAGGTATCTGATGTGCTCCATGTCGATATAAACGTTGCTAAACCCTAAAAAACTGGTTGTTCCAGACTGTAAGCACTCGCATGCATCTGACGTCACATAGGGTCATCCGCGCATCACATGTTGAAAACCAAGATTTTCAGGCTATGCAACACCATCGGTACAGCGCCACACATCGTGAAGGATCGAATGTCAATCCGGCGTTAAAATGCCGCGTAGCCACTTATTGACATCACTGCCACTTTACGAGCCACACAAGAGCCACCGCTAGCAAACCCAAGCTTTGGCTACGCAAACCAAGCTTTTGCCAGCTTCCAAGATTCCTTGTCTCATGTCGCTTAATCGCGTTAAGATCTTCATTTCCTCCACATCACCATGCCGCCAACCGTCCAGATCGAGGGTAACGGCAGGGTTAGCAACAGGTTTGTGGCTGGTAATTTACCAATGCGGTGGAAGAGATGTGAGGAATGATGTCGTTTGGCAGGATACGTGACCGTGTGACGATGTGTGGTGAGGAAATTGGCTTTTGGGGCTGATCTAGAATATAAGGAACGTATCGTAAGCCTCTCTGTCCAGTTTCCACAAGGCCTATCCCTCTTCTTCATTCACTTTGAGTGCCCAGTCAGTCCGCTAAGTGTAGGTGCTGCTTGCTTTGCTGGCACGCTACGCGGTTTGCTGCCTCCTCTTTCCGGAACAAACCATCACAACAAAGACAACAATACGTCATCAGCACTCCATATAGATACCTCACTCCAGCACCTCACCAAGCTGTTCTCGACAATAAACCTCACCATCCACGAACATGGGTTTCTTCAACAAGCGCAACACGACACCTGTTGCCGCAGACACTACAACGGCAACTGGTGCTCACGAGAAGCGAACTAGACCCAGGCGTTCTTCCAAAGGCGGGTCGGCGTCTTACAACAGCAGGCCTGGCTTTGGATCATGGCTCAAGGCTACTTGGCTCGACATTCTGACTATGGCTCTCATGGGTGCTGTTGGTCTTGGTGTTTACTTCGCTGACCCAGCTCCGAGCCGTAGCTTCCCCATCATCTTCCAAGATGGAGAGATTGTCTATCCCCAGTTCGCTTACCCTATGCGCAACGAAATTGTCCCGATCTGGGCTGCTGCTCTCATGGCTTTCTTCATCCCGTTCGCTGTGTTCCTGATCGTTCAGATCCGTGCTCGCAGCTTCTGGGATATCAACAACGCCACCATCGGACTGCTCTACGCCTTGATCACCGCGGCTGTCTTCCAAGTCTTCGTCAAGTGGCTCATTGGCGGTCTGCGCCCTCACTTCCTCGCTGTTTGCAAGCCTGTCATTCCTGCCAACATTCTCTCTACCGTCGGCACCAATGACAATGGTGTCGAAGCTGGTAGCGCCTATGGTAACGTCGCCAACGGATATCGCCAGATCATGTTCGACCGTAGCATCTGCACGGGTGACAGGAAGGAGATCAACGACAGTCTCGAGTCTATGCCCTCTGGCCACACCACGGCTGCCTTTGCTGGATTTGTCTACCTGTACCTATACCTCAATGCCAAGTTGAAGGTCTTCTCCAACCATCACCCAGCTATGTGGAAGCTCATCGCTCTTTACGCACCTATCCTTGGAGCCTGCTTGATCGGCGGTGCCCTGACCATTGACGAGTACCACAACTGGGTGAGTCTTCACAACTGTCACTTCAGATATCTAGATCATTGCTAACAAATGCCCAGTACGACATCCTTGCCGGAGCAGTCATTGGCACTCTGATGGCCTTTAGCGCCTACCGCATGACTTACGCCTCGGTCTGGGACTTCCGCTTCAACCATATCCCGCTTATGCGTCATGCTCCCTTCGTCTATGGAGCCGGCCCAAGCTCTTTCGATGGATTCCACGACACTGTCTTCACCCGCAAGGCTGGATGGGGTACAATTGAGGGAACATCCTGGGGAGGTGCACCATTCGATGCTGCAGATGGTCCTAGAGGTACCATGATGCCGCACCCCGATGGCCCTGCTCATGGCCACCACGGCAGCACCTCGAGCCGTGTGCAGAGGAAGCCTGTCGGTGCTGACAGACATGGTGAGCAGATGGTCTAAACTACAGCTTAGCCTGGTGAGCACCTCAAAGATCTCAGCTTGTAGATAGGGTTGCGCAGCTGCCGCATAGCTTGATGTGCAGTTGTGATAATACTAGGGGAACTCGAGTAGGGCGTTTATTGGGTATGCCAAGCTGACGACTTCGATTTCACGATTATGATAGCGAGGCGTCATTGAGCTCTGGGAATACCATAATATGTATAGTATAAAGTCAATTTAATAACAAGCTGTATCAAACACTATTGGGTCTCATTCAAGCGTGAAGCCTTGTTCTGCCGAAATGTCTCGGAATCATCCCGAACGGATTCCGAACATCTGCCCGCGTGTGTTGAGCCATGGCGCGTCATACAAGGAAACCGCGCGACGACGTGTCGGCAAGTCACGGTCGATCTCAGCTCCTGTGTAAACTCCAAAGTGCCTGATAAGCTCTATCATGGCGCTGGGAACAAGCCTGCCCTTCTGGCCCGCCTTGGTGTTTACTTATCTAGAGCCCAGTAAGCCCTCTCTCTCTCTCCCTCTCCTCTAACACCATGCGACAGCACCCAGACATGTCCCATAGCACCGTGGACACGTCCTCCACCGACTCCAAACGTTTACAGCTAATAATTCTCAGTATCGGAGCTCCTAGGCGCCCATGCCGCCTTCTCAGACCCCATCTCCTTCACGGAGCGCCAACTCCCCGTTTCCCTCTCTTCCACGCCTCCGCCTCCTACTGCCATACTCCTCGCCTACTCCCTTGGCAGCCTCTTCCTGATGCTCGCCGCCCTGAATATCCTCTGCACAGCCATCACACACGATGTACGCACTACACGGTACTACTTGATGATACTGGCGTGCGGGGATATGGGGCACATGTTTGTGAACTATGTCGGCATGGGGAGCGAGGTGTTTTGGAACTTTGATCGCTATAACGAAGTCATGGTGGGGAACGTGGCAATTACAGTGTTGCTTTGGACAATGAGAGTTTTGACGCTGAGTGGGGTGTTTGGGCGGCTGGGGAGGTAGATAGAAACATGGCAAGGCAGTTTGAGTGGAGTTGTATTGTGGAAGGTCTATATACGCTACAGATAAAGATTAAGAAAATAAATAAAAAAAAGGTGTAGCAGACCCGACCGAACACCGTGGAAAGCAAGCGGTTGAAAGGAGACGGGACGCCTGTCGTTCTTCAATCCCAGGGACTAGCAGAAGGAAATATACTCTCACAGCTCTTCGAGTTGTTTCTTTAGATCTCGTGCCAGCTCCTCGCCATCTTGTAGGCTCATCATTTCAGTTGGTGCGAAGATGCCTATGTCCAGGGCGCCATTTCGTATTGTGGCCTCGACATCGATAGCATGCTGTGCATTGGTTAGTTTCTGCTCAATCCAACTGTAGCTTATCACTCATGTCAACTTACCAAGTACGCTCCATTAACGCGCTCATTCACAAGCTCGGCAGGTACCTCAGAGCTACGATTCTCAGCTTTCGATACCTTACTGACCGATTCCTGCCAGTATTGGATCGGTTTGATTGTGATGCCCTCCTCAGTCTGAGCATCTCCCTCCATCTCTTGTGTATCCGGCAGAGACAGGAAGTTGACGAATGTATCGACCTTGATACCAGTCCATTCGCTGATCTCGAAAAGACTTGCAGAAGCATTCGCTGGGTTACTGATGTCTCGAAGATCGCGTTGGATATCGCCAGCTAGTTCTGCAAGGTTTCGACCGAGTGGCGTCTTGACGCGTAGTGGTAGTAAATTGACTGCAGGTACAACCGCAGTTGCTATACCATTGATAGGTAGCGAGCGATTCGCAAGGTAGACTCCGATGACCACGTCCTCGTCGTTTCTGCTGGCTGAGTTTGTGGTGTGGATCTTTGCGTACGCAGCGAGGAAAATTGATTGCACTGAAACACCATGTTGACGAGCGATAGCCTCCAGTTTCGAGGTCACCAGCAAGCCTGGGATAAAAATCTCTGTCCTCGTTTCTGGGCTCTTGGAAGGCTGAAGCAGCCGGTTTTGGGACAAGTTCGCGAGATATCTCGTCCAGAAGGCCCGCTTCTCCCTTATCGCCGATGCTGTGCACCCGCTAGCGACAACATGGACGAATGCATCGTTTGATAGAGGAGTTGTGGCACCATTGCAGATAGCTTGAAACTGTTGCATCATGAAAGGTAGGCTAACACCGTCGTATAGCGCATGGTGGATATTGAGCTTCAACGCCCAGCCGTTCGCCGTTTGCGAGGCGAAGAGGTGCACCCATGGCTGTGTAGTAGCAATACCTTGCATATGTTTGCCGAAGTTGTCATGCTCATCGCCAGTGACATCTGTGACAGAGCCTTTTGCATCTTTCGATACGATCGCTACGTATGGCATTCGTTCATTGCCAGATGATGCGAAGAAAGTCTGCAGAACTGGACTTATCGCTACCAGGGCTTGCCATGATTTTTTGAGATCGACGAATTCCATAAAGCCATGGATCTCATAAGTAAACTCCGCATAGAAGTTGCTACCTTTGGAGTTTAGCCACATCGACAGCATGTAGAGCTGTCCGGCGGTAACTGGCAGAATTTTGGTGACACTTGAATTTTCGACACAAGCTCGGTCCAAGATTCCTGCTTTGTCTAGACCTTGGAGAGCTTCTTGAATGATTTTATCAAGATCGGTATTGTTGTCTGGATTCCGTGTCATACGCGTATCCACAATGCTCGCCATCTTCTCGATCGTACCAGCTCGAAGCATCTCACCAACGCTCAGAATGATGCCCTGTTTGCGGAGAAGAGAAGATACTTTGATCGCACTGATAGAGTCTAGTCCCATGTGGAAGATAGTCATGTCGCTCTTGATTTCATCTTGGGGTATCTTCGATACTGAAGCTAGCTTTTCGCGGATTTGGCGAGCTGTTTCTGTGCTTGTTGGATCCCTAGTGTCCTTGTCGTCGACTTTCTCGGAACTACTGATCGTACGAGATGGTTCTCTAGTGAAAGCCGGCAAGCCACATATCGATGTGCCCTTTGCGGTAGCCTCGATGACAGGCACCTTTGGTCTGTTCATCAAATACTGGAGCACGTCGTCCATTCGATCCAATAGCTGCTTCGATCCTTCTCTGTCGAGAACCTCCTCTTTGACCGCACAACGCCAGACCAACATCTCGTTCACCACTTCCATCTCTACACACACCGGATATTCGACGTCGCTATGGCCCTTAATGCTCGTGTAGAGCTTTTCTTCCCCGCCCTGCTCTTGTTCCAAGCCCTTCTGATAAATGAATAGACCCCCAAACAATCTGCCATCGACACCAGCCGCGGACAAAGCTTTCCGCAAGGGGTAGTGCTGCCACTGTTTGATGTTCATGAAGTTTTCTTGTACGTAACGCAGCATATCCGTCCCAGATCCGTGCAGAATTGCCCGGATTGCCACTGTGTTCATAGTCGGAAACAACAGCTGAGACCGTTCATCGTCGTCCCTTCCGGAAAGTACGGACCCGAAAGTAATATCTAAACTCTGGGTATAGAATGCTGAGACGAGAGCAAAGACTGATTGACCAATGGTTTGCAATGACACATTGCTTCTCCTCGCAAAAGCCTGGAGCTTGTCTACCCGCACTACACTGTTTTGCTCGTGACGATGAACGTAGCTGCCGATTCCGCTAGAAGCGTCTGATCGTCGAGGGAAGAAGCTCTGCTTCGCATCTGAGAGATAGTCTTGCCAGAAGCCTGCAGAAGCAGATCCGGACGTCGCGATGATGTCTGCCAACGAACGTTCATAGCCGGGTCGAGAAATGAATTGATTCTGGTATGCTCGGTACACGTCGGCGTGCAGCAAGCTAAGAGACCATCCATCGTAAAGGGCGTGTCCGATTGAAAGAACAAGGTAGCGATGATCGGGAGTCTCGATGAAGCTAAGGCGGAATGTAGGTGTCGAAAGCGAACTTCGTACGGCATCATGTCGAAGTTCATCGAACACCGATGTGAAGTCAGGAGTATCCTCCAACTTGAGGTGAGACCAGAAATTATAACACCTTTGGTAGACAATCTGTGCGAAAGAACCGTCGATTTCCGGATCATCTATCTCCACAAAACCAGTTCGTAGGATCGGTGAGGCCGTAATGACTGCAAACCAAGCGTCTCGAAGCTTCTCAATATCGACCCAAGAATGCACCCTGAGCACATCGTGATTGTAGTATCTTGTGTATTCTGATGCAACCATCTCAGCCACCATAGCTTCTTGTAATGGTGTAAGGGGAAGCACCTCTTCGACATCGGCCGTATCAAACGCATGCTGTTCGAGGTGTCTTCTCATTGACTGCTTGTAGGGGTCAAGGTCTGATTTCGTAGACTCTTTGCCTGGTGTTTCCCTGGCTGAGATATGCTGTGCTATTTTCGCGATGGTCAATCCGCGCGTGATGCCACTTACGGGAATATTCACTCCACGTTTCTTGAGCTTTGAAGATAGCTTGATAGCATCGATGCTGTCGAGCCCGAGCTCAAAGATAGAAGTAGCTTCGTTAATACCCTCGAGTTCCAGACCGGATAGATCAGCGATCTCTTCCCTGATTTTGATCGCGTCGCTGGTCCATTCGAAGCTGGTCGTGTCACCAGCATCGTGGATCGCTTCCGTTTCCAAGATAGCTCCGTTTTCTACTACACCGTTCACTTCAGCATTCGATTCCGGTATAGAAGACGGATCTTGCAAGACCTGTCGCAATGCTGCCTCGAATCGATCTAGAAGCTCATTCGCTAAACTTCCATCTGAGACATGACCTTGAGCGACCAAGGTCAGTTTGAACACGTCGCCCGTCTTCTGCTCGACTTCCAAAGCCAAAGGATAATCAGCGACAGTGTCATCATCTAGGATCTCCCAAACATCGTTCCTTGCCCACTCTTCGTCTCCTTGTGTGATTTGGTATGCAAAGAGATTGTCAAACAGCGGTTGATTCGGAGTTCTCTTGCACCACTTCATGACGTCTCTTAGTGGCGTGTGCTGATAGGGATGAGCTTCAACGTTGAAGTCATGCACTCTCTTGATAATCGATGCCCAAGATTCGCAGTGTTGAGCGCGATGCTGATATGGGATGGTATTGAACATCGGGCCTATGATGAGATCTGCACCTTCTAGGTCAATGCTACGTCCAGAAACGATAATTCCAGCCGTCACAGGACCTCTGATATGCTCTTGAAGTACGAACAGCCAGCAAGCTTGAGCGACGGCTTGCGCCGTAACGTTGAGTTGACGTCTTACAGAATCAAAGTCTGTCAATGCATGTAGTATACGGGTAACCACGACAGCCCTTTTGGTTGACTCGCTGGAAACAGCGGGTAAAGGAGAAGACCTCTGAGTCAGATGATCTTGCCAAAACTTCTTCGCTCCGTCTGCGACGTTCAGCGGGCCATAGGCGAGTGCAGTATGGAAGGCAGGTGCGGCAGACTTCGGGTCCTTGTCGTTGTAGTAGTTCCATACAGCTTGGAAGATTAATTCGATACTGTTGCCGTCGTAGAGTGCATGGAAGATATGTATGACCAGCAGCTTCTGCGTTGGGGTAGCGACAAGACGCAGCTCAAAGGGATGTATGAGCTGGGATTTGTTGAGCTCCAGCCAGCTGTGTCGCAAATTTTCAGTGTGCTCGGCAAGATGTTGGTCTGCGGCTGAGGTTCGCGTTATTCCATGAAAAGGGACGCCACCAAGAACTGCTTGCACATAACCTTCTTCTGTGTTGACGAAGACCGTGCGCAGTATCGGGGTTAAAGTATGCACGCTTTCCCATGCCGCTTGGAGTTTCTGTTCGTTGATGCTGTCATGTAACCGGAATTGGAAGGTGTTGAAATACAACCCGTTATCGCTTTCCAAAGTCCTCGCAATCATACCTTGTTGCAAAGGAGTACATGGCGCGACAATGTCGATCCTACTAGATTCGATCGATAGTGACTGTGCGATGGAATGTTTGTAGCGATGTTGAACTGCGTGGATAGCTTGTTGTGCTGCGAGAAAAGATCCATGGCCTCGATTGACAGGACTGCCAGCGTTGAAGGCTTTCGCAAGACGACGAATGGTAGGACAGCGCATTACTAAAGATGCACTGGCGGTTTCGAAGCCGACCTGCTTGAGTGTACGCGATACTCCGATCACAGAAATTGAGTCCATACCTAGCTCATATAAGCTGGTATCCTTGCCAATAGACTCCTCGCTCACGTCCAGTGTTCGAGAGAGTACATGACGGAGCTTCTCATCATGTTTTGACCAGGATTCGTCTCGGTCGATTGTGTTGGCTGATATCACCTGCAGTTCGCGAGAGGAAAGTGCTTCGTAAAGCTCTTTTAGCTTCTTAGCGTCTGCCTTGTTGTTGATGTTCAGTGGCATTGCAGTGAGAGGAACAAAGTGCGTGGGGACCATGTATGGAGGAAGCCTCTCGTGACAAGCTTCCTTCGCACTCGCCATCCCTTCGACATCGTCCAGTCGGACCTGAAGTTGAGCCCTGGAGAGTTTGCCACACACCAAGAAAGCCACCAGTTGCTCTTTCTGCTGCTTTGGATGCTTCAGTACTAGTGTTGCAACATCAGAAATCGTCTTGCTGGACTGTTTAATGACCGAGTTGATTTCAGCCACCTCGAGGCGTTGACCACGCAACTTCACCTGATCGTCTGCACGTCCCAGGAAGTCGAATGTGCCGTCGTGCAGTACTCTAACTAGATCACCAGTCCGATATACACGCTCGTTGAAACGCTCTAGATAAGGGAAGCGCTCCGCAGTTAGCTGAGGACGATTGAGGTAGCCTTTGCCAACGAGTTTGCCTGAGACGCAGAGTTCACCAACACCACCTCGTAGAACTGGGGCGTCGGAACCTGCGTGAAGGACTAAAGATCCGACATTGTCGAACTGAGGACCAATATTCGAGGGTTTGCCGTTGGCCGGAACGCGTGGGTACATTGTGCATCCTATCGTTGCTTCTGTTGGCCCATACCCGTTATAGATGACAGCCTTTGGACCCCACACATCGAGAATCTCTTGTTTCAGACTCTCGCCACCAGTGATGAAGACACCCTTACAAAGGCTGGGTACTTCATCCGGGTGGAGGATCTGGGCAAGACTAGGCGTCAGATCAATGTGGGTAACGTTGAGATCAGAAATAGACTTCGCCAGATCTTCGAAGATGAGGTCCCGATGTGCTGAAACCACGCAGATGCCAACAGACCAGCTCCAATACTGCTCAAGTACTGAAACATCGAAGTGGAATGAGGCAAACTGAAGCCATCGCGAATTTTCATCCCAATGTCCAGCGAACAAACGCTGGAAGGCAAGAAGCGCCTGCACCGCATTTTCATGGGTCAGTTCGCAGCCTTTGGGTGTGCCCGTAGTGCCAGAAGTATATAAGCAGTAGCTACGGTCCTGAGGGTTTATCTCGTTGTTGTACGAAAGCGCAGAGCCAGATAGCGAACGCCAGTCGATCTCGTCGAGCTTCAGTACAGGCACACTGATGGTCCCCTCAAACTTGGCAGCTTGAGAAGACAAAGATACAACAGCTTGAGCCCGCGAATCCTCAACGATATAAGTCTGACGTGCAGCAGGTGCGCTGGGATCGACAGCGACAAAGCCGCAGCCAGCCTTCAGTATCCCCAGCATGGCGAAAGATGCTTCCGGACATTTGTCGAAACACACACCAATCAGGCTACCTGACTGAACCCCGTAAGAGGTGAGTAAGCGAGCAACTCTGTTCCCTTCTGCATCCAGCTCAGCATAGGTCCATTGCTCAACAACCCGCTGCCCTTTATCATTCACTGACACGAACTCAAATGCAATGCGCTTAGGGTATTCAATCGCAGTATGCTCGACCAGTTCGTGTAGTAGCTTAGCATTAGACGGTAACTCAGACTCCTTAGCGGGCGTGATAGAGTAGAGCTGCTCCGTACAGCGGGTCTCGACTGCAGGGCTGGTCGAAGTATAACTCTCGATCAAATGATCTAGCTGATCAAGGATCAGTTTGGCCTGTTCTTTTGGTATTATATGCGGTAAGAACGTGAGTCGATACTCTAGGCGTCCATCTACCGGCTCCAGCTCTATCGAAACCGGGTACTCGATGGCCGCTCTTTCGTCGACCACTTTCCATAGAGTACTAGCCTCTGTAAGACCAGGAAACTTCTGATAGGCAAATATTGTGTCGAAAAGTGGTTCGTTCGGAAAGCCCATCAACGTCTGGATCTCCTTGAGCGGTGTGAACTGATATTGCTGGATCTCGGTATTCAGCTCCATGATTCTGTCAAGGAATGCGACTTTATCACTCAATATCGTGCATGCCACTGGTACAGTGTTGATGCACGGGAAAACAGCATCTTCTGCCCCTTCGAAGATTCGACCGGATAGCACAACTCCGCATGTTACTGAGCTTTCTCCAGTGTAAGCGCTCAACAAGGAAAGCCAACTCGCAATACCTGCAGTCTGCATGGTGATGTTTGCATTGCGACATCCGTCTTCTAGGACACGAAGTGGTTTTGCGGATTGGCGCGTGTAAACTAATGGAGAGCTTGGACTGTATCTCAAAGGTGCAAGGTTAGGAAAGCGACATGTGTTTGTAGCCTTCCCAAGGCCAGCCCAGAATATCTTTCGATCGGCGGTGTTTGTACCGCTAAACTGAAGGATGCTGCCGATGGCTGCGTCGATAGGTCTTGGTGACGGTAAAGGCTGATCCAGATATGCAGCAGCAACGTCATTGAAGATGGATTGGAGACTTTGCGCGTCGAAAAGAGCATGTAGAATGGCCAGGTCAAGAGCATAGTACCCCTTTTCCTCAACGATGCGCAATGCCCAAGCTGGCGAGTGCAGCTTTTTCAGAGATGCGTGCTGTAGCTGCTGGACCCATTGATCGATTGAATCGGAAGTAGTGTTTGAGGTGACAGACCACGGCAAGTCGACGGATTTGGAAGTGTATTCAATCATAGCAAATGGGTGAAGCGGATCCTTGACATGAGCAAATCCGGCTCTCAGTACGCTGTGGCGTTCCATTGTCAGGGTCCACGCCTTCTTAAGTCTATCGATGTCCACATCCAATTCCAATTGCAGGCGAAGGGAGTTCATATATACAGCTCCTTCTTTAGCCAAGAACTGCGATACCATGCCGTTTTGGAGCGGAGTACAGGGGCGAAGGGCTAAGACATCGCTATCCGGGATGTTGTTATCGCTCAGTACCTGCGTCCTATATTTGTGTTCGAAAGCAGCGAAGTCAAATTGTGAATTTGTAGACACATCGGATGGGCTCGCCTGATCTATAAACTCTGCAAGATCGGCACACGTGGTATGCTTTAGAACATCAGTGGCATTTACACGATAACCTTGTTTCCGGAGTGCAGCTGCGACTTGCACTGCGCTGATACTGTCAAGGCCGAGTTGGTAGATCGAGGTTCCTGGAGCAATATCATCCTGTGAAGTATCGGACAGTAGCGCAAAAGTGTCTCGAACATCAGTCTCTGTCTTAGTCCATCGATGATCCAATTCATGTCGAAACCCATTGGTAAGGAGATCGGCACCCGCATGGTCTTGGAATATGTTCGCCAATGCTCTCTTGTCAATCTTCCCAGCCATTGATCTCGGTATATCTTCGACGAAAAGAAAGAACTGGGGAACCATGTAAGACGGTAGGCGGTTGCTTGCAGTCTTCTTAAGCTCTCGCTGCAGCTCGAAAAGTCTCCTCTTCTCGATCTTGCCATGCGAGACTAGGAAAGATACAAGCTGCTCTTTGCCCGTCTCACTCCTCTTAAGGATCTGGGTGGTCACAAAAGCGATGTCTGGATGGATATTCTGAATGACGTGGTTGATCTCGCCAAGCTCTACTCTGAGCCCACGAATCTTCACTTGATCGTCCGTGCGTCCCACGAATTCGAAGTTGCCATCGCTCAGCATTCGTACCATGTCGCCACTTTTGTAGAACCGCTGGCTGTGATAGGTGACAAATCGCTCGCTTGTAAGACCAGGTTTGCCGAAGTAGCCTCGCGCGAGTTGTGCACCTCCAATATAGAGTTCACCGGTACTTAGCACAGGCAAAGGCGAGTCACCTTGAGATGAGAAGATGGCGAAGGTCGTCGTTGGGAAGGGCTTGCCAATGACCGACGTGCTTGCATCGCTTGAGATAGGGCTTATAGTCGTGCAGAAGGCAGTTTCAGTAGGTCCATACGAGTTGACACATGCACTTCCCCATTCCTCTGCGATGGTGGACGACATGGCTTCTCCGATACAGTACAGCCACTTGACGCTCGGTATATCCGCCCTCTTGAGTGATACTGCAACTGAAGGTGTAAGGTCGAGCAAGTCGACCTGCAGAGAGTTGATGACTTTAGGTAGATCGTTCAACAAATCATTCTGTTCCGCGGTACAAAGGGTGAAACCGAAGGTCCAGGCCAGGAAACAATCGTAGTAGCACATATCAAACGTCACAGCCGCATATTGTAGCAGTCGCGACGATGAACTCCAAGGGACGCGAGATTTGGAGCTCAGGATAGTTTGGATTGGAGCGCGATGTTCCATGCTGACCGCTTTCGGTACACCCGTGGAGCCAGATGTAAAGAGGCAGTAGGCTAGGTTCGAGTCCCTTAGACTAGGAACGACAGGATTGCTATGCAGTGTGGGTGCAACAGCCTGAATGTTGACAATGATCGCCTCGGTTAGATCTTTGGGAAGTATCGAATTATCAGAGCAAAGCACGAGCTTTGGCTTCAACTCTTGGAGCATGACCTTTCTACGTGCTTTGGGTAGACTGGGATGTACCGGTGCAAAAGCGGCTCCAGCTTTAAGAACTCCCAGTATGCTTGCATAGAACTGTGGACTCTTTGGTATATGAATAGGGACAACGTCTTCAGGTCCAACTCCTTCTCCAATGAGCGTATGCGCAATGATGTTTGCATTTTCGTTCAGAGTCTTGAAAGACCAAGTCGTCCTCCCGCCATCCGGAAGCAAGAAGTCTAGCGCTACACGTTCTGGGTGCGACGCCGCCATAAGCTCGAAACCAGAATGTAGCAAGGCTGTTCCAGTTTGGAACCGCTCAAAATCTATGTTGGACTCCGCTCGGAGATGAACTGGCAACTTTGTGATGTCGATAGATGTTGCATCGGGAGACGCAATCAACGATGACAGGCAGGCATCGTAAGTCTCCAAAACCAATAGAGCCTCCGCTTTGGATAGTAGTGACGTTTGGTAGTGTAGGACTAGCTCCAATGTGTTCGCGGTCGGATCTTGAACGATCTCGCATACCACGGGTAGATCCATATCGCCCAGGTCTTGTTCAAGTGTCCAAATGGAAGAATCCAAAGGTGCTCTCGGCTGCTGAAGTATCACAAGAGTGTCAAAAAGACGACCGCCCTCTTGGAGTACCATGTTCTGTATGCGTCGAAGCGGAGTCAGCTGGTGAGCAAGCGACTCAATACTGAGAGTATGTATCTGGCGTATCAAAGCGTCATTGGACTGTTGGGAATCGAAGTTGACGCGAACGGGCAAAGTGTTAAAGCAAGGAGCGACGATGCGCTCGAGGCCATCTCCGGCAATGCCGCGCCCACTGACAACATTGCCGAAGCAGATATCGTTCTCACCCGTGTAGAAGTGCAGCAGTTTTGCCCAAGCGGCCTGTACTACCGCCAGTAATGACACCGATGTGTTTTGACATGCTCTCCGTATGTTGTCGAGCGGTAGTTGTAGACGTCTTGATGAGGATGCGGATTTTCCAAGAGCTCTCGAGTTGTTACCGGTGAGGTTAGGGAAAAGAGTAGGCTCAAGGCCCCCTAATAGAGCGGCCCAGTATTGATCGCCCTCTGCATAATCCTGATGAAGCATGTGCTGCAGGTACATATCGTGAGAAACTGGCGGTGGCAGCTTGTAGCCCAGATACAAGTCTTGTATCTCCTTAAGGAGCGTGGTGATGGCAATGCCATCGTAGAGCGCATGATGGCAACTAAATAGCAACTTCGTGGACGTTCCATCCTGAGCCAAGGCAAAGTAGACCGGAGGCTTCTCGGCTCGAAGGAGGTCGGAGATAACGCTGTCCATATGTGATGGCACCTTGTCTATAAAGCCATGGAAGTGCCAGTTCAAGCCGGTATCGCGTAGAACAACTTGCGTAAATGCGAACGATGGGTCTTCAGTGGCAACGAAACAAGTACGAAGAATCTCATGTCGCTGGACTATGCTCAACCAGCAGTTTTGCAGCCGCGAAACGTCTCCTTTGACGTCGAAAACCATCGTATTGCAGTACGCCGAGCCTGCGAACGATTCACCGCTCGACAACATTGCTTCTTGAAGTGGTGTACAAGGTAGTAGCCTTGCCACCTGAAATTCGCTTTTATCATAACGCGCAAGAATTCGAGACACTTCGCCTGGATTGAGGAAGTTATCTAGGTTGATGGTAGGGGGCTTGGTCGTTTCTCGCACTGGTGAGCGTGAGTGCAGATCGTGAGCAGATGCTAGTCGAGCGATTGACGAGTTCTTCAACACCGTAGAAACGGTAAAGTCGCCTAAGTCTAGTTTTCGAAGTCTATTACAAAAACGTATAGCTGACACGGAATCCAGACCCATGTTGAAGAATGATGAAGTCCGCCGAAGGTCTTCCGATGATATGCCGAGTGTCTGCGCAAGAACATGGGCTACGTTTTTCTCCCACAACGATGACGTTTCCGGCTCTTCGTCGCTGTCGGTTGGTTGCATGGTAAGTTCCAATTGGTCTTCCGATAGATTCGAAAACAAGCTTTGGAGGAGGCGTTTGTCAATCTTGGCCTGCATCGTCATTGGGAGGCGTGAGATGGGAATGAGATAGGAGGGAACCATATAAGGTGGCAAGCGACGCGATAACAGATCGAATAGATCCAACTTCGTCGGTTCGAACTCCGTGAGTTCTAAGCGTTGGAAACAGTCAGATACGGCTGTGGTGGGTACCCAGAAAATAACGAGTGTTTGCGCATTGTTGGGACGCGGTAAAAGAAGAGTGACACAGTCTTGCACTGATCGGTGATCGAGCATGACTGATGTGATCTCGCCAAGCTCGACACGCTGACCACGAATCTTAACCTGATCGTCCGAACGACCCCTGGAGAGTATGGATCTATCAGGTAACAGGATGCCCATATCACCTGATCTGTATAACCTCCCGTAGAGGGGATGATTGATGATTTTTGCGGCGTTCAGTTCTGGACGGTTCAGATAACCACGGAAGACCTGGTACCCTCCAAAGCAAAGTTCTCCTACCGCGCCGCGGGGGAGAATAGCCTCGCTCTCGGGATCAAGCACGAAGGCTGAAGTATTGGTGAAAGGCATGCCGATGTTGTTGATGAGATCGTCTGGAGTGACCGCTGCTCGAACGGTGCATATGTTTGTGGTTTCGGAAGGACCGTACCCTTGGTATAAGCCTTTACCTGCCCACGTTCTTCGAACATGTTCTGTCAAAGCTTCTCCCGCAGTCACCAGAAACTCGACTCTCGGCACATTCTCCGGATTCACTAATGCCGCGACTGTTGGTGTCAGACTTAGATGTGTGACACCCAGGCGATTAATCGCAGCCTCAAAGTCATGGAACAGATCATCTTTCTTCGCTGTGCACAAACATATGCCAACGTACCAGGAGAAGTATATCTCAAAGACACTGACATCAAATGCCTGTGAGCAGGACTGGAGCAGGCAGGATTCCGCGGAGATAGGGTATATGGTCGAAAGATACTGCAGATTGCTCATGAGGTTATCTTGGGTAACGAGAACCCCCTTGGGTGTTCCGGTGCTGCCAGAAGTGAACACAGCGTAGGCAAGATGCTGTCCGTCGTACGGCACGTTCAAGTTTTGATCAGAGTAGTCTGAAAGCTGGCTGGCGTTGAAGTCTATCAGATCGACTCGAAGATTCTTTCGGATATCAAGTGAAGTCGAGGAGTCGGAGACACAGACCTTGACTCGCGCGTCATGCAAGATGGTCTTGACTCTCTCGATTGGTGTATCAGGAACGAGCGGTAAGTATCCGCAGCCGAGCTTGAGAACAGCAAGGATGCAGACATAAAGATCGATCGACTTCTCCATCATGATGCAGACTAATTGATCGTTGCCAACTCCATGCTTAGCAAGTACGCGGGCAAACTGGTTAGCGTGGGAGTTCAGCATCTTGTAGGTCGCTACCTTTTCGACTTCCACACCACCACGTATAACACGGGCGAATTTGACAGCCGGCCTTCCGGGATCCATCAGAGCCCATTGTTCCACTGCATAAGCAGGACTACGCTCGATAGGTCGCTGCCGAGGCGTAGGATTGGCGATTGACAAAGAAGGCGTGGTGAAGCACCATTTCATCTTATCGACGTCGTGATCAGTTCTTGCTAATAATAGTCCCACTACTTCATCGATCTGGCGCGACAAACATTTTATCTGTTGCTCTGGGAAATTTGATGCATCGTAGGTGGCGCGAAACGATATGTCATCTTCGCGTGGTTCGAACTCAAGTGTGAGTCTGAATTCAAGATCGTCCGCGCTATCGATGACTCTGGCGGCAAGTGTCGAGTTTGAATCCGAGGCTATTGATTGTTGCCATACGAACAAGACGTCAAAAAGCCGTGTTCCAGGTCGTATATTGCCTGCCCTTGCTATCTCGCGCAAGGGGATAATGCTGTGCTTCAGACTTTCTCGATTTAACGCTTGAGTCAAACGCAAAAGTTCATGAGTGCTGTGAGCGTTGTCGAGGTCTATGCGGAAGGGAATAGTTGCGATGCAAGGACCGATGATACCCTCCACACCGGCTACAGGGATAGTCCGCCCAGATGTAACGTTGCCAAAAAGTACGTCGGCTGTACCGCTGTAAAGACTAAGCACGTATGCAATAGCAGCTTGGAAGTAGACCTGAGGGTTGATAGCCATTTCATGAGCGCGCTGAAAGAGCTGGGACCGATCGATAGTAGATAGCCCAGTAAAGTGACGTGTAACTCGATCGCCAACAAGCCTCCCGTGGTAGTTGGGAAGCGAATTCGGAAGGTAGCCGTTGAGGAGACTAGTCCAGTAGCTTCTAGATGCCTGATGATCTTCGGGCTTCACTTGGGATAAATATTGGACTACTTCACGGAACTGTGGTCGTAACGCAGTTTCCTCATTACGCAATCGTGTATCGAGGTCATGTAGCAACAGATCGAAGGACCAGCCGTCGTATAAAGCATGATGCATGCGGAACAATATATGAGGTCGTTCAGAGATTGTCATTATTTGCGCGTGAAACGGTCGCAGGAAGTCTTCCTCAGACTGCAGTGTGTAAAGCATAGAGAAGCAGTCCACCTCCTGGATTTGCGAGGCCAGTAGTTCTTTCCAAATGATTTGAGAAAAGGTTCCAGAATGTTGCGACTGCGCATAGAAACCGGTACGTAAGACCTCGGTTTTGCTGGCCAAATAGTGTATGGCGTCTTGAATGTCTTCATACGTCCGCGAAACTGAAAGTTCGACCTCGATCCAGTTGCAGTAAGCAGTAGGTCTAGACATTGTCTCCACAAGCATAGCTTCCTGTAACGGAGTACAAGGTATTACGCAAGCGATATCGCTACGCCACCGCTCCAGCTGAGGGATCTCCATGTAGACGAGTGACCTTGGAGAGTCTTTCGTGGAGCCATGTAGACTAGTGGCTGTTGTAGACTTTCTACATATCGCGATGAGATCTGTCAATGTTTGAGCTGATAGTACATCCATTGCTCCCAGCTCGAATCCCTCTCGGCGTAGCCCAGATGCTATGCGGATAGATTGAAGAGAATCCATCCTAGCGAAAGCAAAACCCAAATCTAAATCAGGATCTTGAGAGATATGGTGCCTAACGATACTCAGGATGGACCGGCTTACAGGATCGCCCGGGGTGATGGTGGTAGACGAATGCGTTCCATTAGAGTTGGCCTTGCGGAGGTACTCTCTTGCGAGAGAGTCTTTGTCGATCTTCCCCGATGGGAGTTGTGGCATGGTATCTATGAAGCAAACGTCTGATGGAACCATGAAAGCCGGAAGCCAATGGCTACACATATTGAGCACATCTACGCGTGTGACTTCATGCGAATCAGCAGCGCAAAACGCGACCAAAGACTCCTGAACGATCATCACTGTCGCTGTACGACACCTCGGTATCCTCATGATAGCCTGTTCGATCTCGCCGAGCTCAACCCGCTGCCCTCTCAGTTTTACCTGACCAGCAACGACGCGGCCTAAGCATTCCAAGACCCCATGGTGGTTGATTCTTGCACGATCACCGGTACGATATAGACGACCATACTCTGGGTGTTCGACGAACGACGCAGAAGTGAGGTCTGGGCGATTCAAATATTCTTCAGCAACTTGAGGTCCCCCGACAGCGAGCTCACCAACCTCCCCGGTTCTGAGAATCTCGATTGGCATCAAGGGCAGATCTCCGGTCGGAGGCGTGATAATAAAAGCCGAAACAGTATCCAAGGGACGACCTATCGTACTAATCGGTGAGCATGTCGAGAACTGTGGCTGCAACGTGCAGTGAATCGAGGCTTCAGTCGGTCCGTACATGGCCCACAGTATACTCTCCTTCGTTTCGTCGCCACCATACTCATCGATAACATGTTGGGTAAGCATCTCACCAATGGTGAGTAGCAATTTCAAACCAGGCACGCTCGATCTGCCCTTAAGAAGATTGCTTACAACTGTTGGTGTGAGTTCAACTGCATCGATTTCGAGGTTGTTGATGGTTCCTGGAAGGTCATCGAGCATCTGCGCACGTGTACTGCCAACCAACGTCCGCCCTCGGAACCACGGAAAGAAAATCTCAAATATGGAAACATCGAAGGTCTTGCACTATGTTAGTACGGAGCGAGATGCAATTACACATGTGCACTTACAGGAGCTGCAAACTGAAGAAAACGGGCGAAGTCAGGAATGTGGCGGTTATGAGCCAATAGACTTTGGGTGACTGCGTGGTGCGACACGCTCACAGCCTTGGGCTTGCCGGTAGAGCCAGAAGTATACAGCACGTAGGCTAGATCCTTGGTACTCGGCCTTGGTATTTCGACAATCAGGTGATCCTCACGATCGCAGAGTTCCTTGTCCACGAAAACCACTTCGGTGTTGACGGCTGTCCGTATACCTTCATCGAAGGTCGAGAACGTGATGAAAAGGTCAGGGGATATATCATCGAGAATAAACTTTAGTCGTTCTGTAGGTGTGTCGAGATTAAGAGGACAAAACGCTTTTCCTGCCTTCAAAACGGCCAATAGGGCTATGTATAGTTCCGGAGACTGTGGCAGAAACACCGGGATGATAGACGAGGCACTTTCAAGCCTTGCCAGTCTTTCAGTAATTCTACCAGCCAAGACATCGCTCAGAAGATGTAGATTCCTGTAGGAGAACTTCCGCCTTTTCGATCCATGTTCCAGGAAATCGATAGCACTTGCGTCATAATCAAATGGCCGCACAAGCTCGTGGAGGAGGTCAGGTCCGCTCAGAATCGAAGGTCGCTCATTAAGTACCGATAATCGTTGGTTTGCGCCGTTTTCTTGGATCATGTCGTGTAGAATATTAGATAGTGTGGCTAATGGCAATGTTCACTGGTAGGGAATTCGAGCCGTTGTCGTTCCTAGCGATACGTTTATGAATTTTCAGAGAAAAGAACTGCAATAGATGCACTCGTTATTGCTGAACGGAAATTTGCAGAATGCGATGCTTGTCGCAAGTTGCTGTGATGAGAAACTGCAGCACGGTGATTGGTTGAAGGGCTTCAAGTACCTTGAAGCCAGTACACACGAGGCTGGTGCACGTGAGAACGGGTTCTAACACTCTGTGCTTGGGTAGCGCGTTCGAAGCTTAATCACGAAGTGTGCAGTGCTCTGTTGTTAAGCGCAGGCAGCAGGCGACCTTCAAGAACGCGACGCGACCTCCGATTCGGAACGAGCGAGCAGTGCTGAGGAAGGATAAAAGTTTAAGCTGAGGCGAGAAGGTTTTCGATGATTTCTTCGGTCGCAGCTCTCTCCGTGATGTTGAGCGCGTTATCCGTGGTGGCAGCGTCATACATCCTGGTTGACTGGCAGGTGGACGTGTCATTCGACAAGCGGCGCGTAAGATCTGATACCGTGAAGCAGACGCTTTTGGCGGCTCTGCAAGCGAACGGGAGTTAGGAACGAAAACTGCTCGAGACAAGACTAGATCGAGACTGAAAACCGAGGCTCCACCACAATCATGCTAGCCTGGAGTCGTAGCGCAAAGTGGTGGGTATAAAGGCGTGGGCGCCTTTCCGATGACGACAACGCCGTCGCGTTGGCTGGTTGGGCGTCATTTTTTATCACCTATTTCTGTCTCCCCACGCTGGTGAGAGGAATCTGTTTGTCAAGCGCAAACATGGTGTAAGATCCCGTTAGGATGTGGTGTTGGACGCGATCTCGGAGCTATGTCGCTGCTTGGTGGGGAAGATGCAAACCGGGCATGCCGCCGAAAAATCCCGTGCTTTACGTGACATGCAAAGCAGGTCATCCCTTGAACAGGATTATCAGATGAAGTCTACCCCTGACCTGATCTTAGGTGGCTGGTAGCCCAGCCCTACAGGAGTCACTAGGTATGCACGCTGCATGCCACCTCTGTCTATCACAGAACCGTCTAGCTCAAGCTCACATGCCGCTACCCGATGACCGAGTATATCTTATAGACTTTCCACATGCGAAATTCTAAAGTATTTGAACAAAAACTCGTCACGCCGCCATGCTGATGCATGGAAATATAGCAAGGCGGCCCTCTATGATCATGCCAAGGCCCTAATTTAGTCCTACGCTCCTACCATGTCTTCCATTCTGCGCATGGGTAGCTCTGACATCAACAACGCTGAACGTTCACATCAACATCGCCTTTATGGCATCTTTTTTTATTACAGCCCGCAGTCGTGTATTCGTCGCGACACCCACTCCTTCGCTTATGTGCAGATGAATTGCTTTTGAGCACTGCAGTACCGGAATCGCATTGAAGCACGCCAGGCGCGCGCCACAATGCCCCGTTATCATGACGATGACAATTTTGAGAGTCAGCCCCTTCTGGACTCAGAAGAAAGTGAGATCGAGGACGAGCCCTCTGTTCGTCACAGTACGCAATGGGAGAGGCACGTAGAGCCGTCGTTAGCGACTGTTCAACCTCAAGCTTTCGACGGTCCTACTGTCTTTCGTCAACGATTCATCCGCCAAATCCTGGGCCTGAACCCTTTCAAGACTTCCTACTTTACACTGTACAGACAACTGGATGATGCTGGGTCGAAAATCATTCTGGCGTTGGGTATATTCACTGCGATTTTGGCAGGGCTGCCGCTTCCTTTGATAGGCGTCGTCCTGGGGCGCATTATCAACAATTTCCCACCCCATCCAGACGAGCTGAAGCATCTGCTGTTCCGTCTCATGTCAGTCGCGGTCGGTTATTTCGTCGTTACTTGGGCTTGGGCCGTCTGCTGGGCTGTCATAGGAGAACGCGTGAGTAGGAAAACCAGAGAGAGACTTCTGCATCGTGCACTAGGCATGGATATGACCTACTATGGTGCGTACATGCCCGAAATATACCTTGCATAAATCATACGTTGACTCGAAATGCCTACTGCAGACACCGTCTCGCCTGATCTATCTAGCATTCTTACAGAAAAGACGCAAACCATTCAACTTGGCACCTCGGAGAAGGTGGGCCTCTTCATCGCATCAATAAGCTACTTTATCTCTGCATTTACTGTGGGATTCATGCTCAATGCAAGACTGACCGGAGTAATGTAATCATCATCTTCGCCGGGCCAGGGAAAAGTCGTTAACATAGCCAGGTTCGTCACGGTGATACCTTCCATGGCATTCGTTGTTTACTTCGGCACCAAGCAAGTTTCCGATCTATCCAAGCAGGCCGCAGTGTACACCGAGAAAGCTGCCTCCGTCGCTGAAAGTGCTATCCGTGCGGTACAAATTGTACAGGCTTTCGGCTTATTCGAGCAGCTGAGCGAGGAACATGTTCATCACTTGCGATCAGCATTGAGAATCGGAATCAGAAAGAGCGTTGCAGGTGCTGTCATGCTTGGCTCAGTGTATTTTGTGGCATACGCGACGAATGCACTTGCTTTCTGGTATGGCGATCGCTTACGGGATGGTAGTGCAGAGGCTGGCACCATTTATGCGGTTGTCTTTCTCATACTAGATGCTTCTTTCGTCGTCGGGTCGTTTGGTCCATTCATCCAGACGTTCGCTATGGCTGCCGCAGCAGGGGCTGCCGTACTGGACGTTCTGGATCATCCGACATCCGATATAGACGTCTATTCCCCAAAAGGAAAGCCAGCAGAGAGTGCACACTTTGAGAAAGATCTTGTCCTTTCATCAGTCTCGTTCGTATATCCTGCTCGACCTACTGTCAGGATCTTAGACAGTATCGACCTATGTATAAAGTCTGGACAGGTGACGGGTCTTGTTGGACCGTCCGGCTCGGGAAAAGTAAGCATGAAACCTTTGGAGGACGTAATCTTCTTGCTGACGTGATCTTTCTTTAGTCTACTATCGCATCCTTGCTTTTGAGGCTTTACGATCCGACCTACGGCCACATATATCTTGGCAATGATAATCTGAAGTCATTCAACGTTCACAGTTTGCGCTCGCATGTTGCGCTAGTCACACAAAACCCAGTCCTTTTTACTGGGACGATACTGGATAACATCAAGCATGGTATACCGAGTCGAGAAAGAGAGCAATTAACCGAAGATGAGATTCTTATCCGATGCATGGCGGCAGCGACGGAGGCATACTGCGACTTCTTAGACCGTCTTCCAGAAGGCATACACACGAAGATCAGCTCTGGGCCCCAGTCTCAACTGTCAGGCGGTCAGAAGCAGCGTATAACGCTCGCGCGTGCGCTAGTGGGAAATCCATCGCTTCTTCTCCTGGATGAATTCACAAGTGCCATGGACGGTACGAGCGAGGCTATTGTACTGGAAAATCTACGTCGTTCTTCTGCGAGCGCTGCCCGAACTACTGTCATCATTGCACATCGTCTGGCAACTGTGCGAGATGCCGATCGCATTGTTGTTATGAAGGACGGTAGTGTAGAAGAAGATGGGTGCCATCAGGACCTTCTTAAGAAGAACGGCGTCTACGCGGAGCTTATTAGGGCACAACAGTTTGAGAAGGGACAACCGTCGACAGCCTCATCGATACGATCTACGGCTCGCTCATCGCACAAAGAGCATAGAGATTATTCGAGTGAACCAGACGACACGACCCCATCGACCCCAAAGTTGCAAGGCGATGCGCCCAATATGAGCGCATTGACATTGATCGGAAGATCATTGGCGTTAAGCCGCCGTGAAACACCTGCCATAATCGTCGGTTTGGTTTCTTCCATCTTCAGTGGTGCAGTCATCATTGGAGAGGCGCTTATATTCGGAAACTTGGTCGAACTCTTGAACGACACAACTGGAGCAGACGATCTCACCAGCAGAATCTCCTTCTACTGTTTACTTTTCTTCGGTCTGGCCATCATCGCTCTGGCTTCCCACTCCTTTGGCAAAACCGCTTTTGGTATGGTCTCAGAAAATCTCACTCTACGGGTCAGAGATCTTTCTTTCCGAACAATACTGCAGCAGGATATTGCCTGGTTTTCTAAGCCTGGTCATTCCCATCATGCCTTGATGTCGCGTCTGAACTCAGACAGTGGCAGTATCAGTGGGCTCTCTGGTGTTATACTTGGAACCGTCTTCTCAATTGCGACATCTGTTCTCGGCGGCATTGTCCTGGCCCACATAGTAGCATGGAAGATTGCTATAGTGTTACTGGCAGCCGTCCCTGTCATGCTGCTGGCTGGCTTCCTGCGCCTTCGTATCTTGGCTATGGCAGAAGAACATCACCAAACGGCGTATAACGACGCAGCAGCTCTTGCTTCAGAAGCCACTTCCTCCATGCAGATCGTTGCGGTTTTCGGACTCGAATCTCACTTTCTTGACGGCTATCGAGAGGCGATCCGAAAACCGTACGAAGAACATCTCAGGTTCAGTGTGCTTGGCAATATTCTGCTCGCCTTTTCACTCTCTGTCACATATTTCGTCTACTCCTTGGCGTACTGGTGGGGGTCTAAGCAAGTGCGCAACGGCAACTATAGTCAACGAGAGTTCTTTATAGTGCTTCCTGCACTGCTTTTCTCCGCACAATCTGCAGGCCAGCTCTTCAGCTTGGCGCCAGAAGTAACAAGGGCAAAGGCTGCTGCCCAGAGCGTCTTCTCACTACATGATGAAAAACCGACTATCATCACAGATCGGACTCCTTTGGACTCTACCATCACTAATACATCGAACGGAAACGCCTTGTTATCCGGCCCTTCAGCCTCATATGGTACATTCGGTATACGGGGAGAGCTTGAATTCCGCAATGTCAGCCTCTACTATGAAAGTCGGCCAAATGTCCCCGCTTTGAATGACGTATCGTTCCAAATTCGACAGGGCGAGAACGTAGCTTTCGTCGGCCGTTCAGGTGCTGGCAAGTCAAGCACAATTCATCTGATAGAAAGATTCTTCGAT